GGTCGCGGCACGGGAGGGTGTTAACACAGAAGAATTTCCGGAGACACTAATATAATAGTGTACTTTGTCCTACTTGCACCAGTGACTGTGATTGGCAGAGCCTGAGTTACATCAAGCACGTCAAGACCATTGCATGCTTGAATAATACAAATACGACCTTGTCAGGATACTGTTGTGATTCGTGAATATACCGCAACCCTGCAGGACCGGCCGTATCAAGTTGTGTTTTGGGCGGAGCCCCAAGCAGGTCACGTGGAAGGAAAGGTACGGTACGGTACGTGGTCCGTTTGCGGTTGGTTGGGCACCGAAAACGGATGCCTTCGACTTCTGAGAGCGGTGGGCGACTAATTAGCTCCCCCTTCTCTTCTGTGCACAATATTTCTGGTCACTGTACTTGAATGCGACCGACATTGCGCAAGAATGCAGCGTCCAATAGTAGATGGTGATCCAAGATGAACACTGCCACGTCGAGTTCCAAGCTATCAGTCTCAAGACTGTGCGCACAAGTTTCCAAGCTTTAAGCGCCAATTCTTGTCTAAATTCGCATATCATTCCCCAGTCGAAGAACTGTCAACGTTCGATGGTTTGTTCAAGTCTTGAACTGTTGCTCCATCAGTAAGTTCACCCTAGACCTTAGCTGGAAACAACATCTAAGAAAAGAAAGCTAGAACGCACTTACATTTAGAATCCTCTGCAAGCAACTTAAGGCCTGATATTCTGTAATGCCCTAAAATCCTAAGTTCTGACTATCCCAAGCTCGATCAGTGGGCGACCTCATTTACCCCACTCCTTACGAACAAACTTCATAAATAGAAGCGCCTTTTTGACTACATCCAGCTAGCTCTACCCAAGCGCTCACTAACGAACACACGTCTCATCATGAAAATAAGTAGCATAATCATTCCTCATCTTTACGAAGCAATATAAGTAGCTGGGCCGACCTCGACCTGACTCAGTAAGTAGATTTACGTCATCTACACGTAACCTCTCCGGACGTACTAACGCATGTAACCTTCCCGGACGTACTAAACGTGCTCGCGCCTGCTGGCTCAGCCCGAACCCTGCTCCTCGCTCTCCTAGCTTTACTCCGCAGGTGATGCCACGTGCCCTCTGGTTTCGCTGCCTTACGCGAGGGGCACAGCCTGCAAGAAAGAAATGGGTGTTGGGAAACAGCATTGGTGGCGATTGCAAGGTGCACAGCATTGGTGGCGATTGCAAGGTGCACTTGCTTCTGGGAAAGCGTCCACAGACTCAGAAGGCTTTCCGGTTCCTTATTAGGAGCAGCCTTTCAAGTCGGTAAATTTCTGAGTGCCACAACAGCATTTCTCAGTTGAGACGGCATCGTAGATGTTGAAGATTCAACTCGGTGATTTTAGACGTCTCATCAGAAACTCAAGCGCGCTTTTGACGCCGACTTCGAGCTTTGCACCGTTCAACCAGAAATGCAGCACGCTCGACCCTGAATTGGGACTCCATACGACGGACGTCAAACATCAACGCCGACAGCGTGACGATCAGAATCTCAGTCGGCACGTCGACCTACGGTTCGGCACACTAATATTTGAAACGGGCGTGCCGTCTTATCTGTGCGCTCATTGTACTGGCCAAGTGGCCTGAACCCAATGTTTTTGCCGGAGCCAAACCGGACCAAGGACGGTTTAAGGAAGGATTTCGGAAGATTTGCTTACGAATCCTGCGTTCTTGTTGAGCCACCTGGCCTGTTGGCAGAACAGGCAGCCGCCGCAGCAGCACGCCAGGATGCAGTCCAGCTGGTTCGAGCCCTGGAGGGTCAGCACAGACGGTTAGCTTAACCCTGAATGAAGAAGGCGAAACATATGTTCCGGTCGATAGAACCTAGAGAATTCCAAGCCTTGCAGAAGTGAGGTGGCCGGTTGGAGTGGCTCAAGGATGGATGACCACGTCACCCTGTTCTCAGCAACCCCGCTGAGGGGGCTCCCAGAGGCGAAACAGCTGGTGCGTGGATATTCTAATAGCATTTGTGACTTCCCACAAGGTTAAGAGCAGGTTTAGCGCCGCACCTCCAGGTCGTACTCCGTGCGCAGCATGCTGGTTCGAATAACCTTGGAATGTTTGGTTAACAAGTTTAAGGGCAGGGTCAGCGCCACACCTCCAAATCGACTTTTGCGCAGCATATGCTGCGCTGACCGGCGTGTGGATGATTCACAGTAGCACTTTTGGGTTAACACAAGGCTAAGGGCGGGGTTAGGGCCGCACCTCGAGGTCGTACTTCTTGCGCAGCATGCTGCGCTGGTGCGTGAAGTAGCAGGGGCCGAGGCAGATGGCGTTGGCGATGCAGCCCTGCAGGCAGTGGCTCTCGCACGACTGGCCCGACACGAACGCCATCGCGCGGGAGGCGATGATGCACGGGCAGCAGCAGGTCCACAGGCCTGAAATACATTCGTTTTGGGGTTAGGTCAAGGATTAAAGTTTACGGTTAATGACAGGGTCAGGGGATTTGAGAGCACGACTGGCCCGACACAAAACGCCACCAAGCGCGAGGCACATGCAAAGGGGAAGCAGCCGGTCAACAGGCCTCCGGGAACATAACTGGACGAACCTGGTTAACGAAGGTTTGTCTTGTTTGATTTGGGTTAGTACGTGGTGACCAAGGGGCAGCTTAGGTGTTACGCGAGTTGGGGGGCTGCACTAATTCAGATATCTGAGCTGGTTGACAAAACAACGTCAACATGGAGGGTAATATTGTCCCCATTCTCTGTGACTCAAAGCGAGACTTCGAGCGGAAATTAGCACCAGTCAGAAATGGCGGGTGGACTTTCAAGGTGGCGAGACCGAAGTCCACAAGCACACAAGGCGTGCAGCCTTTCAGAAGCAGAAGCACAAATGGCACGCAAACTCACAGATCATCGGGTTCTCCCAGAAGGCGAAGAACTCGGTCCCCCATGGCTTGGTGCCGGTGGAAGCGCCATTGCCCAGGTTCTTGAGGACATCAATGGAGCCCTCGATGGCTGGACCAATGTCCCTGCCAATGTCGCCAAACTTCTGGGGCTCTGGGGCGACGAACTGCGCGCGGCGGAGAGGAGGGAGGGGCGTTAGCTTGATGGATGTGGACAGAGATTGATTACTTTCCACAGGCTTATTTAGAGGGCTGACTTTGATGAAGCGCGGCGGAGAGGGGAGAGGGGAGAGCGGGGTTAGCTTGATGGACCTGCACAGAGATTGTTTACATTCCAAAGGATTGTTAGGGCTGACTTTGATGAAAGTTTCTTTGGCTGCAAAACACCGCGGAGGGGGGAGAGAACCGTTGGCTTGGAAAAGTGGATGTCTCTTATCTATGTTACAGAGGGTCAAAGGGAGGGGGAGATTTGAGAGACGGGCTGAGTTTGACAGAACCAGGTGAAAATCCGTTTTGGCTGCTTTTAGTAATCTAGCACCTGGTTCTCTGGTTTGCAATGGAGAGGGCAGTGGGGCAAGCGGAGAGCAGGAAGATTGAGTAGAAAAGTGGGGTCCGCTTGCTTTATAGCGCTGGGGACTTTCAGAGTGAAGTTTAGGGTGGCCACTCAAGAATGGCGATAGAGACGCCCGTGCTAAGCTGGTGACAATGCACAGGAAAAAGACTACTATAGTCAGCAGTGAGAAATGTCATGTGAGGAACCATGTTAGATAAACATAGTCGTAACTTGAGTAATTTCAGCTGGAACTGTAACAAAAGTGCGTTGCCAAAGTGGCTGCTGGGCTGAGAATGGACACAAGGAGAAGAGGAAGCGGAGAAAGATGGGACAAACACTTTCCAGAACACAAATCCAAGTTGCCACTTTCTCAGCTTGCTACTGTCTTTTGGGTTGTCCTTTGCAAAAGGGGCAGAGGCACTCTTTGTTCCTTTCGGCACTCTTTGGAGTTCTTTGCGAGCGGTAAAAAGAGGGTGGTAACTTGGTAAGGTTTGAGCTCAGCTGTTTACAATTCTGTGGCATTGAGCACAGGTTCTCTCAGATTATCAACGACCGCGGAGCTCTTGACAGCTATTCTTGGTAGAGAGCTGCAATAACTTCAGTGTCCAGTACTTTTACCCTTGTACTGAAGCACTGACTTTGTTCAGTCACTCTGACCATTTCTCAAGTGCCTTTTCTATTCGCAGTGTTTCAGCATGCGAGTCGTATGGTAAAGTCCTTGTGTATGTGCAATGAGTGGGATTGAGAACAACAATGCTGCCAGCAAGAAAGTTTCCTCGTGAAGCTCCACAAGCTATCCTTACCTTCACTAGTTTAGATAGGCTCTCAACTAAAGAGAAGCAGACAAGCTTTGAGGGGCAGGTCAGAATAGACGGAAATTGAGGAACGCAAACCAGCTTGGCATGATGCCTAGCAATGGTCCGCAGGAGTCGCACAATGAGGAAGGAAAATCAAGAGGGTCTTGAATGTAAGGAACGTTAGTTGCGCGTCTTGTACAGCTAGCCTATAACAATGCAAGAAGGACATTCAGCTTTCTGCTCTGTCTTGCCTGAACTGCGCTCAGCGCTCAACTGTGGCTTTGAGCTTACAAACCAGCCAAGGATAACAACTAAACCAGCAAGGACAGAAAAGCAACATCGATAGTGTAGCCTGCATCAGACTTGCAGTTGAGGCATCACTCAATGTATTGCCAATTTGCAGAGGGTCTTAGCTATCGAGTACTTCCTGAATAGCACGGCACTTCAATAGACTCCAATGACAGTCTCGGATTGCTGTTGCGTCGCACTCCAAGCTTTCAGACCGAGTCTGTAAGCGATGTTTCAGCTAGAATTCGATAGCAAAACAGCAGAGCTGAGCACTCATTACAGATTTCTCAACCTGCTCTAGCTCCCCTTCAAGCTCACACCTTTATCCCCCCCACTTCGTCCTTCCCAAATTACAGGTCAAAGCAAGACGAACCAAGATACAGTATTTGCGCTAGGGGGAAACTGCTCTTACCTGCACAAGCCCCTCCTTGAGGGCCGCATTCTTATCCCCCCCGCTTGGAGGTGCCGCCACCTTCATGGGGTCGACAGGTGTCGCCACGGGAATGGCCTGCGGTATGCCGTTGTCGACGTGAGCGGTGGTGGCGGCGGGGGCGGCCATTGTGAAAGGCGAGTGGATCGGCGGAGCGGATGGGCGGAGCGGAGAGAAGTGTGGCGTTCACCTGACTTTTGACAAAGACTTGAAAGACACAAAGAGATTCCTCAACTGAGCTGCTCTGGAATGGAGCTACGGCTGGAAATACCAGGATAGAGAACCGCGACACCGTCCCCTCCACCCAAGTTCGACTGCAGTGCGGCATGCGCTAGTCAACGGCCGCAAACTTCGAAGTGCTCTGCCGATGCCGTTCCCCGTCGGTGCACCTACTCGGAGACCGGTAAATTGCAAGGCTAGCCTGAGCCTAGCTCCGGCCTGTACCCGGTTGCTCGACCAGCGACTCGCGATTCGCGACTCGCGAGCCCACGTGCACCCGTACCTTTAGCCACCTAGGAGGTCCTAGGTACCTTATTTATAGTAGGTACCTGCGACGCCCCGGGGAGGAATGCCTGTTAGCAGTTGACTACTGGTTCTCCCGGTTGGCAACTTGGCACCGAGGTAGGTACCTAATCGTGGGTATGGCTGTGGGTACCACTATATCGGGCGGTTGCGATTGTACGGAACAACCGCCGAGCTAGACTCACTCCCACCCGGGATCCCCTAGGCGACGAGCCGATGAGCACCCGTGATCCTTTGCATGGGGCGAATGTGTTGCTCCCCGAGCAGTCTAGTGGTAGCTGTTGCAGCGGCCCCCGTCACTTTCTAGAGCTGAAATACAAAGGCATCCGGGCAACGAAGATGACACTAGACTTTGCAAGTACCACCGCCGAGCCACAGTCACCCGGGCGAGATATCGAATATTTGTGGCATCGGTTCATAAAATGCAGTGGGAAAATATAAAATCATCCTGCCACGAGCACCACCGTTTGCGGAATCTAGCCTAACCAATGGAGGGGCTCCGTCGCTTGCTCGAAGTCGCACATTTCCAGCCTGGCAGCAGCGGCGTGACGACAAAGTACGTCAAGCCCTATGATTAGCACGGTCGTCTACTTAATGCATGACGCCAGAAATTGGGCCAACTCTAAACCTTCTGAAAATAATTACTGGCCACCTAAACGAAACCCTGGCAGGCGCCGCGCGGCGCACGACTGTCGCGCGATTGAATGCCGTTATAATAATATTAAGCAGCCTCAGGCTGGCCCGCGGTATAATCTTCGGAGTCGATATATATCCGCACGAGTCCTCATAAATAGGTTATAATTTCTCAACCTGGCAAGAAAGATATCAATAAGCTCCGACTAACACTACAAACCCTAACCCAAATAGATACCGGTCCTCCCACGTACCCATATACACCCACCAAAGTATCCTAAACTCTATACCTGTCCCGATGCGGTTACTTGATTATTATCTTTCTTGAGAAAATTCAATCTCATGTGAGTGACTCGGAAGGGCCGATACGGTGCACGCTATCGCAGCAGGCAGCTACGCCAGGCACGCGCACGCGATATAATATTAAGCCGCGATGTGAATCTGGCACTGCTTCAAGACACACGTACTTCATCTGATCGACGCTTCCGCACGTCGCAAGTCTGGTCCAACCATGGCTCAAATTCAGACCTCAGCTCGACCAATTGTAAGCTTTATTGATAACATCGTCGAACGGGCCGTTCGGCCAACTGCGTGCATGATTTGATACCTTGTACTAGAAAACGACCTACGTTCATGTTGGTAGCGGCTCATCCGCCCCAAAGATGAGCCGAATCTTGCTGCTTGCATGATAAGTGAATGAGAGCAAATGATAGCAATTTGACAGACAAGTCAAGCAGGTGCTGATATTTCGATCGATGGCACCGAACTACCAGGCGACGAAAGAGACAACATCTTAGGAAGGATTTTCCGTGCAATCTCGTCAAACAACATAGGGGACGCTGAAGCAACTTTCATTGAAGCGAGCAACTTCGTCAAATATTATAGCCGTCGCTGAGGCAACTCCTCGCATTTAATGTCTAGTGTCCACCACGACTGTCACGAAACCACCGACAACGATCCCAACTTGTCAGCAACCTCGTCCAAGTCATCCAAACCCAGGTCGAACGAAGGCATCCCGCCCGTTGGGCTGTCCTCCAGAGCGCCTCTCTCCTCCCGCCTCTTCCTCAAAGAAGCCCTGAGCTTCAGTTCGGACTGAGGCGCCGAGACACTTCCCACCCGAGCCGGCGTCCCGAACGCCACCCCAAACCGCCCATCGGTCTTTTGCTCAACGTCGTTTTCGACCTCGGACACCTTTAACCTGCTGACGTCACCTGGCCGGTCTTGTGCAGACTTACCAACCGGCGCGGCAGAGTGCTTGTGTCCGCTCGAAGCTGCCGTTTCTGCTGGTTTGGCGCCGCTTGAATATTTCGCGTCTGCCGGAGATCTTTCAGGGTCTGTGCCTCCCTCTTCTTCAACCGGGGCACCGACTGACCTTCCTGCAGGCTGCCCGGTAAGGGCGACCGTTCTCGCTTGGTTCTGTACCGAAGGTCGCCCAAGCGCAGAGCTCCCAAAATCGGTTGCGAAACCGGACCCCCTAACGTCATTCGCAGCATGCACGGCTCCCATCTGTCCACCGAAAACGGTCCGCGCGTTCCCAAACCGAGCTGACTCGAGGCTCTGTATGACGTCAGCAGTCTGCAGCGGCACAGTTGCTGCATCCACAGCTTGGGGAATCTTTCCGAGCCCTCCGCCTGCCTGCGAAGCTAGCCCCTCCCTCGCCGGTACCCTCCCCCAACCTGAGTCCCCGAGAGCCTCTCTCTCCGGCCCCGGAGCCCCGTTTACCAGATCAGGGGAGGTGTTCAAAACCCGGGTTTCACCAATCGCCGAGGGTTTGCTCACCGCCGGAAACTGCCGCTCCTCTAGAGCAGAACTGGGACTAGAACCTCCGGGCTTTCGAAAGCATTTGGAATCTGCCTCTTCCGAAGAAACATTCAAACCCTTCTCATGTCTTGCTCTTCCAGTTTCGGCCGAGAGCTCAGCCTCGGCGATCGTAACGGGGGCTGCCGCTATGGAAGCGCTGCCGCCCGAACGCGCCTCCTCGGCCTCGGGGTTTAAGGGTTGGGTGGCTGCGGCTTGGGCGGCCGCTGGCGCTTCGGGGCTTAAGGGTTTGGTCGCCGCGACGCGCGCCTCGTTCAGCTGGTCGGAGAGGCGACGGATCTTCTGCTTGATCTTCTCGCCCTTGTCGGGCAAAGATGGCGCCTGGAAACGAGAGAGTAAAAGATCCTTTCAGAACGACTAGAAGCCCAAAACGGAGAAGTTGTGGCGATAGCAGGTTTCCGCTTGGTTTCTCGCCCTTGTCGGGCAACCACTTCCCCAGAAGCGGGGGATTATGGCTTATAAGCACCCCTGGGAAATCCAGAACTTTATTGTCGCAGGTTCGAGGCACTTTAAATGCGTCGGGCACTGGCTGCGCCTCAACGAGGAACAAAAGATTATGTCGGACGTGGATTTAAACCAAGCAGTTATCAGCATCACGACATCTGGGGGCCTTTTCCCTTCGTTGAAAGCCTGGTCGCTTGCTGGCTTTCGTATGCATGGTATTTTCCTCGGAACGGCGGCTAACACTCTCAATCATTTCCTATTTGCGACGTCGACCGCAAATTACTACTCAAGGTGCGCTTGGCTTGGGTATGCACTCACTGATCGCAATATCGATACCCAGAACATGTTTGGGGAAACTCGTACCCCTGACTCTGCCAAGACAACCAAAGTTCTTTTTGTTTAGAAGGACCTTCCCCACCCATCTGACTTTACGGGGTTCAGAAAAGACGCGACTTCAAAGCTGAGTTCTTGGCTCGTTAGCCTTGATATCCGCAATTCATCATCATTCATACCTACCTGTGACTTAAAGAGCCACTCCGCTTTTCGAAGCTCCTGCGCCAGGCCATCCACCCGTTGCCGCGCCGCCACTTCCGCTTCCGCCGCCTTCCGCTCTTCTGAGCGCTCCGGGGATTCTGCCGGAACCGTCCAGGGATTGGCGGAACTGCTGCCAAAAGTTGTAGACGTTGACGCGCCGCCCGACTTGAGGTAGGCGTGAGCTTCGGAAAGGAGGTCCACACGGGCAGTCGGGAGCGCAGTCAGACCGCCCTTCCGGGATCCGCGGCCAGTCAGGTCAACCACCTGCAAAAGAGAAACTCTAGACAGTTTGGCAAAGCGCAATTCTTTGCAACGGTGCTTGTCTGGATGCAGAAGCAGAAGCAGGAGAGAACTTTCTCTCCAGAATCTAGAACCCGAAGAATCCCCATATGCTGTAGGTGCTCTCTTCTGATTGCTGATGGAGGGTGTGAGACGCCCTCTGGAGTTGTGCACTGATAAGAAGCACGGGGAACTCGCTCGGATACCATTTCACAAAAGAAGGCTTCAGATTACATATCGTGGCACGAAATTTTTGGGCCTGATCTTGGTCAAACTCACACTCAATATCCAGATCCACGGATTACTTTCAAAAAGTCGACACCATTGCCTGGCAACCCCTCTCGTCTCAAGACGAGAAGCCGAAAGTGGATAGGCCAGATCAGCAGCACGCGCACGCACGAGAGTTAAGACAACAATAAGCCACGATCATAATAAGCCCCGACTACATTAACATTTATTTCCAATTCCGATTTGAATCTGCGCCGCCCACCTACCCACCCCAGACTCCCAAACAAACCCTACCCGTCTCAATGCGGTTACCTCGTCATTATCTCCGCCCAATACTCGCGTTCTCAAATACAGACACGGGGGCTGACCTGGCGGCGCGCTGGTGCTGACGTGGCACGGAGAGTGTCGGCGCCGACGGTAGCGACGATGGGCACGTCCTCCGCGGCCTCCTTGAAGAGCAGGTCGTGGTGGCTCACTCCTACGATGCCACGTGTCTCCAGGCGCGCGATGTGCTGGTCCAACTCGGGCGTCCTGGAAGTGTCCGAAGCATCCGTGGATCAGTCCAATCAAAGTATGGGAACGAGCGTAGACGTTTTTGGCACCAGCCCCGAACGTACTTCGAATCGAGAAACACTCTCGGGCCCCTTCGAAGCAGGGACAACGTGTTGATTTTGACGGGGTGTTCAATACGCCCCAGAAAGGCGGAAAGATCAGGCCGTCGAGACCCGTAAACTTTGCACCCAATGCATTGCAGACTGTCTCTGCGACATGTCGACCCTGCATTTAACGGGCCCGAGACTTTCTCAGAGACTGTTCAATCAAAAGTTAGACTTTATGATCAATGTCTGTCTGATTCAAAAAGGTGTTTTGCTGGATCTGTGAGGAGACTGCAGATGTCTGTGAAGGAATGTGCGATGATCCGCAAATTCATCGAGTCAGGTTGCAAAACTGGCTCCGGTCAGCTAGGAATACCTATCCAAACTGCACACGCTGGTACAGATCGTCGCTTCAACAACACAATCACCTTGGCTGAAGCCTTGCTCTCGGTGACTATGGAAAGGAACACCTTTCCTCGCAAGGAGGAAAAGCCTCGAACGGCCAAACATGAGCTCGGCAATCTACAAGTGTCCAAATCCTTCCTCGATTTTCATGCCCTCCCCTGAGATCCTCGCACCAAAGATAAACCTTAGAGATGCAAAGATCTGAAAGCCTTTTACAGATGTGGACAAAGCGTCGCCTCACGTTTCCACCAGTCCCGCCTGCGACTTGTGCAGCCGTTCCATGGTCTCGGAGTGCTCGAAGCCGCGCTCGGGGATGGAGAACAGGGCCCGCAGCTCCTGCAGAGAACAGGGAGAGGGCAGCCTTGAAGTATGTTACGAAGCAAAGCGAGCTGGAAACTGGAATCAGGAGGCAAGAAAGAGAGGGACGGAGAAGGAGTAAACAAGGGACATTGAGAGAACAGCTCAATGCAAAGGAATGATGAAGAAGCGCGGTAAACGGACAGGGCAGAAGACCGAGAAACCAGCCTCACATGCAAGACCGAGAAACTAGACTGCACTTGGGAGCTGGGCAGAAAAGGATAGAAGCTAGACCCCGAGCAAAGGCAACTTTGGCAGAATTTCAGTTCAAAGAGGTGGTTTTGATCTCCTTCAGGGCGGAATTCAAACTTTAGGGTGCTCGGAACGCCTCTGCGAGAAGTTTGGCGCCTCAGAAGGGACCCCTTTCATAGAATATCGCGTACAGAAGGCCGAGATAGCCAGCGAAACGAGGCACAACAGACCAGCACAATGGCAGGATGACAACACCTCTTACTGCGTGACGCATAGACGCTGGACCGAACCGCAAACCAAAGGTCAGGGATACCCACCCACATTCTCGTTGAACATCTTCTTGTGGTCTTTAATTCGAGCATCCGTCGTTTGTTTTTGCGAAGCAGCAGACGTGACCAGCCAAAAACGGATCAAGCTGGACCGTCAGCAGACACTGAACGTCTCCATGGAAGCACAAGAAGTACAAAGCGCAGGACTCCACATCGGCAATCCCCAATCGCCGCGCGACCCCTTCAGATCAAAAAAGAGAAAAGAGGGCGGAGGGATCCCCTTGGGCGCGTCCTCACGTTCTCGTTGAACATCTTCTTGCAGTCTTCAACTCAGGCATCCGTCGGTTTGTTTGCGAAGCGGCAGAAGTGACTAGCCAAAAATGTAGGTTTCAACTACTACTCAAAGCATTCGTCGCTTTTATTAGCGAAGCGGCAGACTTGACTAACCAAAATCGGATCAAGGTAGACTTTCACCAGACAATCGAACAGTTCCACGGAAGCACAAAGCGCAGGACTCCAAACCCGCAATCCCCAATCGCCGCGCCACCCCTTCAGATCAAACGAGAGCAAAGAGGGCGGAGGGATCCCACCGAGCGCGTCCTCACGTTCTCGTTGAACATCTTTTTGTAGTCCTTGTGCTCGGTGACGGCGCGCATGAGGCCGCCCTTGAAGACCTGCTTGCAGTAGATCTTCTCCTCGATCGTGCCCGCCGTGATCAGCCGGTAGACTACCACGTCGCGCGCCTGCCCAATGCGATACGCGCGATCCACGCTCTGATTGTCCACGCTGCGAAGGCAGAGTTGTAGGGTGTTGTAACTGTATTCATGAAATCTTTTATTCCTTTCGGCAGACTCAGAGTTACCTGCTAATATAATCAAACCATTATCAGCCGGTGGACCACCACGTCGCGCGCCTGCCCCATGCATGGGCGGTCCACGCTTTGGTTGTCCACGCTGCAAAGACAGAGGACTTTACAGGGTGTTGTAACCGGCCTTGTGAGACATGTAGTCCTTCCGGCAGACTCAAAGTTACCTGCTAAAACAATGGAATCATGATCGCCTCATGATAACGTCTGAAAGTTTCGGCAGGCCACATGATCATCTGGTTTTTGCCGAACTCAATTACCAGTACGGTACAAGGATCTCATAATCATAGGTGTGGACCCAGTTTGGCAAATACACAGCAACGTCGCAGGGCTGCCTTGAGAAAGGACATCCTGAAACTTCTCACAGGAAACAGCTGCAAAGTGTCTGTGGACCAAGGTTGCCACGGCACTCCCTTGACGTTCTTAAGCTTTCATCTGTTTGGCCCCTGCGATCGCCTTAACACGCGCCGCATTTCGGAAGCGTCCGGTTCTAAGGCCTCATTTTAGGAGCCACGGGCTTCGATCCTTTTCTGACCACGTTCCAGCTCAAAAACAACGAGGAACTCTCTGGAGCGAAGTACAACTAAGTAGAAGGGAAAGCACAGTGGGATTCAAGCTGTATTTGTATTATGGCACGAACGGGGTGCTCTGGAATCCGTACCTCGGGTTCCAAGCCGGGTCGATGATGACCACCCGGTCTGCTGCCGTCAGCGTGAGACCCAGGCCGCCCACTTGTGACGTCAGCAGGAAGACCGGGATGTCCGGGTCCGTCTGGAACTCCTGCGGATGGAGAGCAGGTGGAGTTGAAATCATTTGGGGGCGAATTGAACTCGAATTCGGCAAAGCTGGGTTTCAAAGCTTGAGCCTTTCTTATTGATCTTGCGTCATTTGAGGTCGTTTATTGCGATCGTGTGGCCCAGAGCGGAGCTTCCAGCTGGGGCCAGCTGCGCGCTAAAGTCAAGCGTCAGCCGAACCCGTCTGCTTGATGCTTACAACATATCAGGTACTATGTCGTCGAAGGCAGTTGGGGTAGATAGTGAATACAAGACCGGAGCCGAACTTACGGAACCTTTTAGGTGGTCAGCCGACGATTCGGCTGAGAGGCTGCCACGTACCTCGACAAGCTTTTGGCGCTCGCGCGCGCTGACGATGCTCCCGTCGATGCGGCAGAAGCGGAAGTCCCGGGCGACTACCTCCGCCTGCACAAACAAGGATGGTCGCCTTCACGGGAAGAAAAGGCAACACCCTGACTGCTTACAATGTTTACTTTGCCCTATATGTTTAGTGGCAACTTTCAATCCAACAAGTGATAAGCAATTCTCGTTTGAGGACTTATAAAAACTGCGGTTGCAAGTTGCCAGTAACTTCCGATAAGCAGAACGAGCTGACATGTTCCGAGATGCTTTTAAATGAGCACCAACTTCGACGTAGAATACTCCTCAGGTTCCCTATGATGGCGAGGATTGATCGAGCGGCTTTCTGCTGCTTATGCAAATACAGCATCGTCAGAAACAATTTGAAGGAGGAAACCCATAGGAAAGCATCTCTCAACGGACATACCGACCATCCACAACAGCGAAGCACCAGTAACTCCACCAGGAGCGACCTTTCAGACCGCTCTACTCTTCTCCATCCGCTGCCAAAACGAGATCTTCGCAACACGTAAAAGTCCTTGCGACCCAGAATCCACACCAACCGCCCACCTGAATGATGTCCAGCATCTTCTTGGACTGACTAAACACCAGCGTCCGGTGCCCCGCCCACGTCAGGTCCTCCAGCAACTCCATCAGGAACAGCACCTTGCACGACGCGTCCCCGGCCGAGCCGCCGTCCCCGAGGGGGATCCCCCGCGCGCGCGCGATCTCGAGCGCGAGCTCCGCGGCCGCGGCCGCGTCGCCTTCGGAGAGCTCGTCGGAAGGACCGTTGGCGGCCGCCCGTGACGCGCCGCGAAAGATCTCGGAGGCTGCGCGCTCGGTGAGGAGCAGCGGGTGGTCGCAGATCTTTTTGAGGACCTGGGCGGAACGGAACGGAACGGAGAACTTAGGTGCGATCGCCAGATCAAAGCATCCGTGCTCGATAAGGAGGAGCGGGAGGCCGCAGATCTTGTGTGTATAATTGCAAGACTCCAGGCAACTTCAGGGTTCCGTGCTCGGTGAGGGGCAGCGGATGGTCATAGACCTCCCTGAGGACCTGAGCGGAACGAAACTTTTGAGCGCCGTCGCATCCATGCTCGATGAAGGGCAGCGTCTGGTCGCAGATCTCCTTATGGACCTGGGCGGAACGGAACGTAGAGGTGATTTCTCGCTTCAGTAGATGAGTCAAATTCTGTGCTCTGTTCCAATAAAGAAAGGGATAAAATGGAACACCACCATACAATCGTAACCAGGTGCAAACTCTATTATGAGCTGCTGATGAAAACGTACCAACTTTCGTGGACTAGAGTAATCACCTCCTTAGAATCAGCGACTCGCAATCAGGATCACAGAATACCTCCAACTCTTTGGCGGGCCGAATTAGCGACTCTCCTTCCCTCATTTCCAGCGAACGCCACGTATTATAAGAACGCCGCCAGACAAAGCTCCGCTCAACCTGCAAATACTCATTTGACATAGGTAATCATACCACCACTTAGACCTCATGATCTCCAAGCTTAACCTGACCAGCCTAGTTGCTCACCGTGAGGGCTGCCAGCGCGGACCGCTTCTCGTTGAACACCTTCTTGACCTGCTCGCTCTGCAGGAACGACACGTACAGCCGCTTCTGCTCCGCAGTCGGTTTCAGCCACACGATGAGATCATTCTTGCGCGCGCTCATGTCCATCTGGCGCTGCCCAGAGGCGGCCCCCGCGGCCGCGGCCGACGAGGAGGGGTTTGGACCGCCGCCGGTGTTTGGGGTTTTGATGACGTCCTTCTTCTCGCGGCGCAGGAAGAAGGGCGCGATCACGGCGCGGAGTTTCTGCGCGCAGAAGGAGCACAGGGTGAATCAGATTTGGAATGCATCTAGGCAATTGACTTTCATACGAAAAGCTGGGCTACCGAGTTGTTTGGAACACTTCCAATCATGTACCAACCTAAAGCAAACTGCTGCAATCGTTTGTATCTGGACAACTTCTGACACTCATTTCAGTCGCTGCCACAAGACGGCCCATCAAAGATGATTAGAGGTTGCCCAACAAAGCAACGTTTGGGTTCAGCAAGTGCGTGGATCTGCGACGGGAGAGTAGGTGCATTCTATCCTTCTGCCGTACATGCCCCGCGCTGACTTCCGTTGTCTTCGCTAGTCCAGCCTAGCAAAGACTTACTTGCGAGGTGACGACTCCGACGTGCCTCTGGCGCTCTGTAGCGTCCCGGTTCTGTCCGGTGGTGATCTTCCGCTCGTACTCCTCCTTGAAGGAGCGGATGTCGCCCAGGAGCCCCGGGCAGCAGAAGTCGAAGAGGGACCACATCTCCTGCAGAGAGCGGGGCCGGTGACAGCTGTCAGCCTATATCACGGTCGAGCACAGGACTGTGACGAGTTCCCCGTAACTTCGCGATTGTTTGACACGAAAAGAACCAACTACCAATCTCCTACAGAGAGCGGAACCGGTGACAGCTGTCAAGCTCCGATATGCTAGGGCACCGTACGAACATGGCGTTTCAAATGGAGGAGAAGCGACGGCGGCCATCGAAGCTTTGGCAAGAACCAGGTGGCGTTGAGCGAAGGTGCTTCCCAGGCTGAACGGATCTGGTGCGGACGATTTTGGGATGCCTTGGTTCCAAATTACCTTCAACATGAGTTCGGGTCCATGTGGCGCCCGATCTGATAAGGCGCACACTTTGACGTAGACAAATACGGGCAAACCACAAACAGTTTATTCGACAATCAGAATGCAGCGTCGCTGATCAGCGGACCTGTCCCATCTCACTGGAAACGAACGCAACTCGATTTGACATTACTCGTGTACAATTCAACTGAAGCAACATGATTGACTGGTTGGTTCTTAGCGAGCTTGTCGACCGTCTTCTTACCTGGAGATTGTTCTGTACAGGCGTGCCGCTGACGATGACCCGGTGCCTGGCGGGAATGCTCCGCAGGTTCTTCGCCTTCACGGTCTTCTCGTTCTTGATCTGGTGGCCCTGCAAGATGAAACAAAAGGTGGTATTTCCTTCTTGCAAATATGCGAACGGCTTACGCCTTTCGGTCAAGTTTAGGTTTTCTTTGTAGACCGAATACCTTCTTGTGCGAGTCTCAAAGTGAGCAATCTGTCCTTCTTGAGCAAGTATCAGCCAGAGGAACTTAAGATACATCCCGTTTCGCAGGAATGGGACCAATGACTTTTCAACACGACTACTCGGAGGATCCACCTCTAAGCCTTTCGTCAAGAGCTCGCCCGGCCACGTATGCTTACCTCATCCAGCACGACATAGTCCCACGTCACCACATCGTCAGCCATCTCGCCAAAGCCGTCCTTGCCAATCTCTGGGTCCAGCCCCGCCAGGGGGATCGCGTTGTGCTGGATCATGCCGTAGGTGGTCAGCAGAATGCCCCCCTGCTGTAAGGTGTGGCGCAGGTTCCAGGCCCGCTCGTTCGGGCTCCCCTCGTGGTACCTACCAAGCGGAGAGTTGTCCGGTTTGCAGAGGCGGATTGAGGTCTTACGATGCAGAAAAGTGGAGAGTTCATGACTATGGTCCGGGGAGTCGATTTCGACAGGTTTCAATGAGGGCAAAATGCAGTGCGGTGGGTATGGCTCTAAAATATAAAAGTGGTAATCAAGAAGCCAAGGCGAATCTGGCTACAGGTTGGGAGAGTTTGATGAGGGTGATGAAAGCTCGCAGTTGGACGCCCTCCTAATGGTAAACAGCTAGGAATCAGGCGCCACTCGCTCTTGCAACATTTTGACGATGCCATAGCTAAACAGGTACTTGATCAGGAATTTCGGAAGTTTGTAAGCAGCCAACGTGGGGTGCGAGTACCACTCACGAGAGCACCTGCCGCCCCATGCCACACTTCTCCGAGAGCTCAAGCTCCCACTGCGCAAGCAGCGTCTTGGGGGCCACGATCAGAACGCAGTGAATGAGGCGTGACTTGAAGAGCCCAGTGAGGTACGACGCAATCTGCATCGTCTTGCCTGCAAGCACGAGGTCCAACTCAGACTGTCAGGTTGAGATTTTCGAGCTTCTAAGGTGAGAGGAGAAGTTGGTAGCGGCAGGATTTAGCAAAGCTTGCATTCGGATCACCTGAAAAGTTTTTGGTATTGCTGGTTGACGTTGCTTTCTGCAATCTGCGAGTCAAGTCGGCGCATCGAAGGGAGACTACTGTGAATAGGTTTGTAGACCAATGAGTACCTAACCAAACAGGAAGATCTTTCCACCACGGTTGGACAAAAGTGAATGAAGCCTACTCCTCTCAACACCCCTGAGAATACACCTGCTCCCTCTCCGACCCTCTTCCAATCCCCAGAAAAACGACAAATCAGGAGTCCGACTTTGATCAAGTCCTCACCGAGCCCCATATCATCGCCGAGAATGCCCCCCGTCTTCTTCACGTGGAGGCTCCAGAGCCACTCGATGCTCTCCCTCTGGTGCGGGTACAGCTGCCTTGCAATCCGCCCAGGCAGGCAGTACCGGCCCTTCCCCAGTACCATTGCATCCTTGTCCTTGGCCAGAAGCGCCTCAACCCTCTCTCGCGCCCTCGCTTCTTTGGCCTCCCTGTCCCTATGCTCAGAGCCACTGGTTGACGCTTCCCTCAATGAGGAACTCTCTTCTCGCTTTCTGTCAGGGCCCCCGCCTTGGCGCTCCTCTCCCATTTTGTGTCCGAAAGTTGGGCCTGCACGGTGTTCTTGGCGTCTCTCCTTCCCTATTACACCATTCCTACCGAACGAGGCCTTTTCGCTCGAGCGTGACGCTGCTTTACTCAAAGCCCCTTTTCCGGAAGTGTGAGGGTCCTCTTGTTCCTCGAGGTCTACGAATGCAGCCTTCGGCCTAGGTTTAGTAGACTTGCCGAGGTCTGCATAAGCAGACTTCCGCCCTTCCCCCTGCTCTGACTGCTCAGGCCAGTCCGTCCACTGCTTCTTCTGTGGTTTTGAGACGCTGATGTCATCATCCGGCAGGGCCTGCTGGCGGGAAACCTGGAGCACATGGTCCAACCGGTTGCTCTGTGCAACAAGACGAGAGGCCTGCAGGAGAGCAGTCTGGGCGTCAATCCACAGCAAAGTGTGCAACAGTTGAAGGACCTGGTCTGCAGAGAAGGCATCTGTAAGTCACTTAAGTGGGATGCTGAGTCCCTAAGATGAAAAACAGGCCCCATTGAAAAGCTTGCCACCAGCAATGTTGCTGATAACAGAACGGACATGTTTCATATTCTGGTGACTGTCTCCTGGCGTGTCAAGCTTCGCAGGCTGCTCCAGTTTGATGAGTCCCAGGAAAGCAAGGAGGCAGGCTAAGTCAAGAAGAGCTACGGGGAAAGGCAAAAGGTTTACTGCTAGAGACCCTCCGGATCAACAACCAGGAGAACAAACTGCTGAAATGCAGGACAAAAGCTCTTGAGAGGCACTCCAAGGAATATCAGACTCACTTCTGCACTACTGCCTTTGTCTATGGATAGGCCCCCCAATTGCTCCGCAATGTCACTTGGACTCTCCTTGCCTTCAACTTGCCGCCTGTCTCTTCCAGCACCTGGCTTACTTTTCCTCAACGCATCGGGCTGTGGAGAGTCATCCTCGATCTCGACCACATCTCCAAAGCTTCGAGCAGACTCATTGATATTGACCTCAGCAAGCTTCTTTAACCTGCGCCGTGAGGGAGTCTGCACACTTGAGGGTTTCTGCTCCACGTTGCCTAAGCCACCATCCCGTACTTCAACCTCAGCCTGCCCATTCCGGTAATCCATCATCGTCCTACTTGCCCCTTCTTTCCGATCATCAAAGGGCCTCTCCTCTACACTTGACACCCCACTATGCTCCTCATCAGGCCCAGAGCTTCGTCTCATCCTCTGCATGCCAGCCTTTGCTGTGCGCTTCTGCAGCAGCTCCCTCAGAGCGTCCTCCCGCTCCTTCTTGCTCGCAATGTTGGGTGTCCTTGAGCTTAGGACGCCATGCAGACCGCGGAAGTCAACAGGCGGCGTCGGCTCCATGCTCTCGTTCACGAACTCTCCCTTCCATACACCACGTTCCCTCCACTAGCACCAGCTATCTAGGATGATGTGCTGAGAACTTTTGGCACTGCTGAGGACCTTCGTCTTCAAGCTCCAGAGGCTAGAGCCCATGAATGATGAATGATGAATGATGAAATTGCTGCTGCATGAAGGCAGGCGGATCATGAGCCAGAGGCTTGAATGATGGGCTGGCCGCTGACTCCTGAGCATGAGCTTGAATTTTGAAGTTGCGCGAGGGCCGTTGAATCAGGGCAGCAATCAATCCATCAACGGTTCAACTTCAAGACAAGGGCTGGGTCAGAGGGGCGCGTAGAATCACGCGGCTGCGCGATTGCGGTCGGCGGCCGCGCACCTAGCATTCTGCCTGCTAGCTGCAGACTGTGCAGTCTCAGATCAGTTGCGGAGAATGAGCATTGAACTTGAAGGGTGAAAGGGCGGCAGCTATACTATCCTAAGAAAAGCGTTGCTGGTCTGGCGCCATCTGAGTTTGATTTTTGAACGTTGCTTTTCATGCTGCATTCAGTCTAACGAGGGTAGAACGCAAGGCACGAGTGGCGAGAACCGGGTTGTTGAGCGGAGCGGAGAGCAGGATGGCGAAAAACAAGTATTCCGTCCTGCTTCCGACATACAACGAGAGGCAGAACATTGCAATTGTGACGTATCTGATCGTGGAGGCTTTCTGCCGCTTGTGAGCCTGATTTGATTCCGTCCCTTCTGCGTTGCTGCGCTTTTGAAGGGTCAGGGGGGTTTAATGTCAGTGGTGGCAGGGACTGTGATTAAACGTTTGCCCCACCCACTTTTCCTGTCGCATTCATCTGTGTAGGAACCAGAGTGGTATCCTTTGTTGTCTTCCAGTGAGCTTGATTTCTTAGCAGCTGCGCACGCTGGCAGAGCACATGTTCAGCTGCAATTGCACGTGTACAATAGCTTGAGAACCTTCGTTTTCTTATGCTGATAGTTGCTTTTTTTCCCACCCCACAGAAATGTCGATTTTGAGGTGGTCATAATTGACGATAACAGCCCGGACGGCACTCAAGAGGTGGTCAAACAGTTGCAGGCGCACTACGGGGCGGACAAGATAGTGAGTGGCACCCTGTACCTGACTAAACTGCTTGTTCAGAGTATGAAAACTATCAGAATGAGTTTCCCCTACTCCCCTAGCAACCAGCCACTCCCGGTTCCGCAGGCAGAATCAGAACTCTCCATGGCGCTCTCTAGAAGATTTCTTCAGCATCAGTATAAACGGACCAATCCGTTAGGATATTCTTGGTGCATTTGGCGAGTCTCTCCTCGTCTGAATTCCAGAATGGCCCACCTTCTACTCAACATATTATGTTTGTTCGCCAATCCGTTATAATATAGCTGTTGAATTCAAGAATCCCCTGGGGCAGTCCCAAACCAGCTGAGTGCACAAAGGACTGGCCCCAGTAATCATGCCTGGCCTTCTTGGATCGTTCAGCCTGTTGCTATAGTGCAGCAGGTTGCCTACGTTTTGGGTTCAGGTCTTGAAACCTCAAGTGGCAGCTCATTTTGACACCTGTGTCATTGTGCAGCTACTGAGACCGCGGGCTGGAAAGCTGGGTCTGGGGTCTGCGTATGTTCACGGCTTGAAACACACGACGGGGAACTTTGTGTTTCTGATGGACGCGGACCTATCGCACCACCCAAAGTATATACCAGGTGAGCAGGTCAGATGACTCCTAAAGAGGGCTTCAACCGAACCTACTAATGCAAAGGAGATGCGAGGGGATCGTTCCAACTATTCAATTGAAAGCCACGACTGATGTTTGGGCTGAGGATCAGCCGATCCAGGAGGAGTTGGAATGGTCATTCACCTTGTTTCGCATCTTCCCAAGCACGCACGTCCCTCTGCCGCATCCTGACTCGAGGACTTGGGCCCAAAATTCCGGCCGGTTTGTGTTGTGCAGACTTTATTCAGAAGCAGCAGGAGACGGGGGCTGATGTTGTGACCGGGACGCGGTACGGAGGGGGCAAAGGAGGAGTCCATGGTGAGGGCCCTCATGCATGATTTTTATCTTGAGCGTTGTACAAAACGGGATTTCTGGGCAGCAGCGTTTTGTGTGAAAATCTGGTTACGCGGCGCTTGTCTTTCCACACTCAATAAAACCTAGCCTTCCTACACTTTTGCTGGGTTTCTAGTTTCACACACAGCAAAAAACAAAGGTATTGACGAGCCCAAATTGACCACGAGAAGGGAGGCTGGACATCATATAGTTCTACGCAGGCTTGCTGCCAGTGTTATCGGCGAGTCAGCTGGTTGCAATGCTTACAGAAGAGATTGGCATACTCCCCTTAAGTTTGCTTTTCTTGGTCCAACCTAGCGAGACATGATAGCCGAACGAGGTGAGGCACGAAGGCACGTGCCATTTCTGCTGAAAGACACCATAACGTCCTTACAACAAAACCGCTTCTTCGAACCCTGCGCTCGTTTAAGACAGAGTGACACTAGATTTTTGCTGCCGTCCACAAAGTCTCCTGGATCAAGACCCAGCCGCTCGGAAAGATCACCTCACCAGAAGCCATGCGGACTCAACCCGTTCTGCAAGGAACTGGGGCTTTATTCGTACGTGGTGAATTGTATACAGGCTGGGATCTGCGGCGGAAGTTGACGAGCAGGGGCGCCAACTTCCTCGCCATGACGCTGCTGAATCCGCAAGTCTCCGATCTGACGGGCTCCTTTAGGTAAGGCCGGATTTGGTGCGTACCAGTGTCCTTTGGAATCGAACGAGCTGCGCCGATGTCGATTCGAATCGCGGTTGAGAAGCTGGTGACGACGAGGATGGATAGGGATGTGAAACAAATCTGTAGGTAGACAAGCGCCCTCGGATTTTGGCCCCATTTCAGCACTCCCCCGTGCCATTCTGGGCCTTCTCGCTCCGAAAGTCCAGGTCTTGACAAATTTACCGTTTGAGGGAGGTGGCGTGTCATCGTGTCCTACTTCCTACTGTCCAGTAAGGCAGCTTGCTCAACCAATCTGACTTCCTCTAAGAGAGGTGAGAACAGGCATATGGAAGTTCGACAGACATCAGTTTCCAACGTCGGTTGGTTATTGACTTGTCCGTACCGCGGGATGCAGATTATACAAAAAGCCAGTCCTCGAGAAGCTGATGAGTATGGTCGTTTCGAAAGGGTACGTTTTCCAGATGGAGATCATCGTACGGGCTCGACGAGCAGGGTTTCACATAGAAGAGGTGAGCGCAGCTCTGTTCAGCTTGTATCTTATCTAAGTTTACCTCCCGTTTACTTTGTTGCGAGCACGTTTTTTCGCTCGAGACGGTGGCAGCAGAGGATTGCAACCTGAGCGCTGCATCTGTTATGGCTCGTTGCACGTTGCGCTTCTCTGCGAATGATTCTACGTGTCAAACACTTATGAATGTCTCCCGTTGTGTCCCCAACCCTCGGGAATAAGGACCATGTCTGAGACTGAGTACCGCAAGTCTGCTCATGCAGGTACCCATCACCTTCGTCGACAGAGTTTATGGTATCTCAAAACTCGGAGGTTCAGAGATCGCGCAATACCTCAAGGGCCTCTTGTTTTTGTTCTTTACAACATGATGAACATTGTTTCGTGTTTTTCCGCTGCGTCCACTGCTTTTTGGGCATCATCAGGTGATCATTGTACGCCCATAGGTCTTGTAGTACGAGTTGCATTGAATCCTGGCTGCCAGTCTAGCGAATCATCGCGCTCTAAAACTCATGCACGTGTGATGTCTCTTATTATGTTGGTCCAAGAGCTATCATATCTCTCAGGTCACGACGCAACTTCAGTTCCGACCTCTTGTGACGAAATCAACATAATCAGACATGGTTGCACGGTGGTTGAAACCCACTAAACGGTGGAATACTCGTAAACGGAATCCAGGATCAGTCGGAAAACACCAATACGCACATAATGCAAACAGATCTATATTATACTATAATGTCCAATAATCTGAACCCGCTATAATCATGATGGTCGCTGGCTGCCAGACAAAAAAGTTCCTTCTATCCTACCCCGATGATACGCTGCGGCGGTACTTGAATTATCGATTGCCGATCGACATATGCGCCATGTCCATTGTCAGTATAGAAGTAAACATATCTACTTTTGATCATATCGTACCGCCCGGTCTTTAAATTCTGCGAAGGCTGCATGCATGCAATCATGCATGAATTGATCACCGGCACACCATCGTATGGCAGTACGTAGATACATTAGGGCCGCTGCATGTAACACATGCTCAAGTTAATTATTCTCGAGTTGGTCTACGAAGAATCTGTACGTGCGCCAGGCGCACAACTTCACATACTGTGCAACTTAATATCCATGACAGATATACGAACGGTTGGCCAGCATGTGCAACAAACCGCATCCAACCCTTGCATGTGCCAGACCTGTGCACATTCTCGGACATGCAAGCCGGCATTACGCAGAATCTTTTTTGATGATTCGTGATTGACAGCGGCCACAATTCCTTAGGCAAAGCAATAACACATGACTAATTCTGGCAACCATTGCCACTATTACTTATGTTTTGCATCCAGAGAATTGAGTACATGACTAACTTATCAATCGTCATACATGATGTTGGTCAACAGGGCATACCATCAGCATATGACGCAAGTGACACACATCAATGAACGCCTTGGGGAAGCTTTGTGAAGGCGAGTTGCTGAGCTTTCAACAAGGTCAATTGTACATGATGTTTTCACTCACACCTGCACAGAAAAAAGTAAAGGTCAGATTGGAGAAGCCACCTGAAGCTGTTTCTGAAAATCCGCGCATCCTTCCGTCCTCCTTTTGTGAAAGCTGTGCGACATCTGTGAACACCAACTATCACAACCACCAGCTCTGCCACCATTCATTTGACTTCGGAGACCTTAGTCGAGAGTACGTACCTGGAATCAGATTCTGCTGGGATAGAGCATCACTCGTACTGTGGCACCCTGCAGTCGGAAAGCAGCACTGTTAGGCGCCCCTTAACTTGTGTTTGATCAAAGCAAGTCCCTCCGTTATGACGATGACACACCCCTACGAGCCCAGAGCTGAATTGCTGAAACCTAAGACATGTGCTTCCGCCTGAGCGGGAGCTTTTCAACGAGACACTCAGATCTTGCTGATACCCCCGACATTCTTATGCAGCTTCAGCTCCGCTCCTGAACAAACAAAATCAGGCAACAACAAGCCTTACAACATCGTCCTTCAGCTTGCGAAAGAAGCTCCAAACCCGCACATCAGCTGGAGTCCCACCAAGTCAACCACCCTCATGTATTTCTTTCATGTAGCTGATCTTGCGGCAGGACTACAGCGCACCATCGCTGCAGGCCTCGACCGAGGGAAGCAAACAAGAACAAGGAGCACAAATCCTGAACCATAAGCAGCTGAAAAAGACACCGAGTGACACTCACGAAGGACTTGGGCGGCAAGTTCTTCCGGAACTGGGCGCGCACAACACCGCTCCCTCCGTGCGCCCGCGTGACCTTGCCCCAGATCGCGCGGTACTTCTTGCCGTTCTTCTCGGACGACACCCGGTAGACGTACGCGAGCTTCTTGCCCAGGTAGAACTCGACCTCCTCCTTGGTCTGCACGCCCTCGATCTTGACCAGCGACGTGCTAGGGTGCTGGTTGGACTTGCCCCTGGGTCGTGAAAAGTTCGTCAGATTGTTCAAAGCCAAACAAAAAAGATCAAAATCGTTTGCACGAATCTAGTTTGACCAGCGACGTGCTGGGGTGCTGGTTGGACTTGCCCCTAGGGCATAAATTCAAGTAAAAGGTTGTCAGGAGGTCCTTAAGATGCGGGTAGAGTTTATGGAAGAGTTGCGAGTCTGTCTGCACAGGACTCAATTTGACCAGCGCTGGGATGCTGGTCGGACTTGCCCCTGAATATTGAAGATACAGATTGAGTTGTTGATAAAATTTTGGAGACCTGCATTTGCAGTGACGAGGGGAGCAAGAAGGACAGTAGGCATGGGGGTTTCCGTGGAAATCCCGAGGGGAATGAAAAATGGAAAGATATGGAGCAACCTGAGTAGACTAAACATGGATCAAAGGGAAAGGCAGCATCGGAGCAGGGAAAGACTTTCTGGTTCTGACTCCATCAAGACAAAGCGAGACTGCTAGAAAAGAACTCTCAACCAAAGTGGTATAGAAGGACGCCAGGAAAAGGCGTTTGGCGGAGCATTGCCTTGGCTCATATTTTTGTGCTCGTGTCAGTCGAACGGCCCAAGCTCAGCACCTTGCAGTGGCGGGTTTCAAAACCTGAAAGCTGACTTCCGGACTTGGCCAAAGTGCCAAGTGGCTGCAGCCTGTCTATACATTCCACAGCACAGCAAAAGAAACTCAAGCTGCCGATACATTCATAACGGTTTTCGGCATTCGCCGCACTTCTCAACCAAGTTGCTGGTTGCGCAAGCAAACCACCCTGCTCCGCACCTTTTGAAATCAACAAAATCAAGACTATCAGCTGACGCTGGAAGAAGAGTCGTGTTGGACGTGCTCTTCAGAACCGATGAAGGAATAACAATCTGTCTCGCATTTGAGAACGTCCCCAGCGAACCTAGAACTTTCCAAAGCTACTCAGTTGAGCTTAGAAACTACGAATGCTTCGAGTACTGATATGCCAACAAACGGAAACAGGATCCGCACAGACACCGCACGTGACGCCGCTGGGCTTTCGATAACCAAATGCACGCCCGCAACCATTCGCTTAAGCATCAGGCCTTGCTTGACAAGAAGTCTCTACCGCATGGCCCCGTTACATTTCCCCGTCCACATTAGTCATTTGTGATGCCCGAGTGGAACTCTGGCGGTTCTAACGGTTCCAATCAACCCCGGTATAATAACGCTTGCATACCCTGAACGTGCTGTTTGCAGGCCCCACTGTGCAACTGATCTACCTTCTGCATATCCTCAAGAACCGACCACCAGACTCTGAATAAACAAGTTTGCCCAGGTGACAGTAGAAGTCAAGTGCAAACAAGTGCTGGATAGAATTTCCGTTGCAGGGCCCGGGACTTTACGAGAAGGCAGTGCCAGTAACTACTCTGAACTGTCTGACGATTGTACCTCAAGAGCGGTATGCTTCTCAAATAAAGCCAGACAAGAGGCGTAGAGCCAACACGCCAGAAAGAACTTTGGTTGCTCAATTCGTCAACCATATATGCTCAGCAAGTGGAAGCTGTACACCATCTATCTGCTTAAAAGTGATTGGCCACGCTCTATCGTTCTGCCCCTTGTGACTTTGCTCAAACCATTTCCATGTCAGAAAAGCAATCAATCTGCTAGTTTCACAGTGAGACTTGCTGGCGGGACCAGCAGAGACACCCCCCTTAACCATTACCATTGCTCTTTCGGATGCAGATGGCCAGATTGTGCATCAACCACAAGCTCACCAAAAAAAGGCATTCCGGATTTCCCTGCTCTGTGCTTCAGCTGCGCCAGAGCAAAAAAGAACAGAGCATCCCATGCCCGCAAAGCTTTATGAGCCCACATGAAGCACATTCACCATTCTTGGGACTCTGCTTCAGATTACCCCTCATCTTCTGCTTTTTCGATCACCCATCATCTTCTTGTGACGTGCGTAACAAGGACCTGAGTGCCCGTCCCAAAAGCAAACAAACAACCTCCGGCGCGCCTCACCTCTTGTGACCCAAAATGGTCCCCCGGGTATACAACCGCACGTGTTCCCGCCCCCCCGCGGTCTTAGTGGACGCTGCCTTCTCCTCGGCCATCTTAGCGTCAACTAATGGGCGGCCTCAGGAAGCCCTTGTCTCTAGAGATGCAGCTGAAAGAGGGCAAGGAAAGGCACAGCAAGCCTGCTTTGAATCTGCAGAGCAAAGCAGTGCGTCGCGGCCGATCCCGCGCGTGCGCTGAGGTAACGGTCGATCTGATCGGATGATACAGTCGCTTTCTAGTTTGCCGCGCGCACAGTCTACTCTGCCACGAAAAGTACGGGACATTTAGGGCTGCATGATTGGGCAAGCGGTCCGGAGTCGGCTCGGTAGGCACTCCCGGGCTAGATACGGTTGCAACTTGCTAGGCCCTGCCAGTGCCTGCATGCCATGCGCTGGCTGAGCAGCTTCGTTCAGCGGTTGACCACAGTCACTGCTAATTATCTATCGTAGCACCGTGCCCATATTCTTGGTCCCACCAGCAGTAGTACTAGGTACCCATTTAGTCATTTCATAGCTCTCCAGCACTGCGCCAATGATCGCTGGCGTTTGCTCCTGCTTTGTTGCCGCCAGGCAACAAAGCAGGAGCATATAATGCACACCTTACAGAGGCTCCTTGATGACAGGCCTACTAGGCAAAGCCGCTTTCAAAGCCGCCCTGCTCCTGAGCTCGCATACCTAAATGTGACGTAAGAATGATCGAGACCAGTGATCTGGAAAAACGCCACCTGTCGTACAGCCTTACAATCGAGTCCAATGCCAAGATGCCAGCTGTCAATACACAGCCGAGTAGGTATATGCCGCTTTACCGCTTATTTCAGACGCAGCTACAAAAGCGCTCGGTGAAATGTTTGCAACAGTGACATTGGAAGCCCACTCCTCAAGACTTGGTTTTGAGGATGTGAGAGCTCTGCAACTCTTATACTCCAGGCAGACAAGGTTTGAAGGACGAATCTGAACGACTCAAAATAATTAACCAAATGATAGAGCGGTGAGGCGAACGCTCTCAAATTACTGGAGCCGCCAGCAACTCAATACTTATCATCTAGTCCGAGCCGCTGGAACTACGTCTCTGGACTGCTGATATGAACGACCAGATTTTCTTGCCTTTTTACGGCCAGCTCAGCAGCAGGGTGTTTGAGAACAGGTTCTTCTGGAACGACTCAACTGGCGGCCAGAACCTTGGAACCAACTTTGTATCACAACGCCGCCGCACCAGAACAGTTCCAGGCAATAATATGGCCATCGGTTCAAAGGTGAGGGAAGATGCGCATGGGTGCAGGCCTTATACAGTAACATTTGCGGCCTTTGGAAACTACTGTACCGCTAAGTTCAGCTTGTCTGAGGTGCAGGTCTTATCGAGTAAGTGCGTACATATGCTCGCCAGATGATTCACTGCATCTTTGCTGCCAAGTGATAAAACCCTGCCAGATGCAAAGTACATGCCTTTGTACCCGCTTCTTCTGTGAAGTTTCTTCAACTTCATACTCGCGATATGAATGTATCTGTAAAACCGGCATCATGAGCTTTGCAACCTATATCACGGCCTCACCATAAGGATCTCTCACCATAAGGATCCGGCACACTGTTCCCAATCACTTATTGTTGTCTTCAACCTTCAGCAGCTCCCAGATCCCTAGATTACGAAGACCGTTTGCACATTAATCGTTGATGCTGGTAGTTACCTGTTTATTTTGAGTCATGCACAGTCTCGCTTCTTGTCCATCTAAAGGGCAATGACGCAATCTCTGCTTACTCTTGAACAGATCAGATTCGACTCTCTCAGCTAAACAGCTCCAGCCATGCAGACATGTGCCATACTGAGATCTCTCTTCTCGTTGCTGTAACAGGTAGTGCTTCTGTTTGCTGCGCTTCTCTGCATCGGGCATGCGTCAGCAGTCGCTTTGGACTACACAGAGGTCCGAAAAGAACTGGTGGAGTTCTCGAACGCCACCACGCAAGTCGTCCCGGGATTCAACTTCGGTGACCAATCATACTTCAGGTGAGCGGCGCTGATTTTTAATACGGTTGTAACTTGTGACTTCAGGACCAGTTGATGATGAGTAATTGTGGTGCGATTTCTTGAGGAATTTCTGGGGCCTCTCGAGTCTATTCTTGTGGCCCATCAGAGTCCGACCTTTCTTTCGCCCCTATCTAGGTAGATGTTGCTGTTTGATGCTGGCAGACGACCATTGAGGAATAAAGCACGTCGTTGTTCTCCGTTAGAAGAGGACCTTTTGAGCGACTGCCCGATCGTCATGAGTAATAAAAACTTTTGCGTAGAAATCCATTTTATCAACAAAAGCAAGGGTGTTCATACCTGACAATAGCTGTGTAAGTTTTCTGCTTACTACGGTTGGGCATCAAAATCCTTGGACCCAAAGAAATGTCCTCTACGTATCTACAAGCCACAGTTCAGTGCTTTCTCTTTTCTACTGGCATCAATATTCGACGACCCACAGTTGCTGTTTCCAAGGTCGTACATCACTTCGACGATATCGAAGCCAGACAATTCTCCCAAGATAAATCACGACAGCAGCTTATAGAAAACCTAATTTCCTTGGCAGCAGACCTCAAAAATAAACCCTGCGTGTCTAAGAACTCTCTCAGTCATTTTTCCGGAGCTGCAGGTTTATTTCTCAGGATTCTCCCGCCCAGACAAACTTGAAAACCTCCAATCACACGTTCTCCTCGGCCACGTAAGCAAGTACTTCAAAGGTTGCGGAGTGCCTATGGTTTCGGCGGCTGCGCAGGAACATTCTTGAGGATCACACACCGGGCACGAATGGAAACCTTCAAGCAATCCGAACCCGTTTTGGAAAGACTACCGAGCGCTCGGGGTTGCGAAGTTCTTGCTTTTCGTGGACTCGCAGAAATATTCTCGAGACAACCCACCCCGCCAAAAGCAAACTTGAACCCACATTGAAGATCTCCCTAGTGTTAAGAACACCAAGCGCAAAGAATCACGAAGTGCTTACGCAGGAACATTCTCCAGGACATCCACACCCGAGAGGAGGTGGGCGTGAGCATCGGCATCTGCGAAGAGACGACCGCGCTCAATCTGGCGACAGGCTTCTACGAGCTTTTCTGCTCCTTCACCTTCGTGTTTGCGGACGGAACGATTGCGCTGCAGGTGGGTCCGCAAAACCTGTCCGTTGTGCCGCAGCTATAGCCTCAGGAGTAACTTTTCATTTCGACGCAAATTTGTGTCTGAAGCGGGGACTTGAAGGGGTTTTAGTCGAGGGTGGTTTTCAGATTGCTGGCTGGGGATCCCCGTTCTCTTACCATCCGTGTTGGAACTTGCAGTTGGAGAATGTTTGCTCCCAAGATCGACGGCTCATGTTGACGTTTCGGGAGTGTAGGAACAGTCAACTGAAGGGGTGGATGATTGGGAATCGAGCAACCACTCTTTCATTCGTTTTCGAAGGAAAAGGGAAGGGAGAGAAAGGGGATAGACTTGGTGCGCACAAACAAAAAAAGACGAAAAGCCACCCTTTTTTGAAAGGCAATGATTAGGGGGGCTTTGGGCGGTAGTTCCGGAAGCAGAATATATATCAGCATCCTCGAGACACTCTCCCCTTACGACTTCTACAACCGACTCTACGCAGCCATGCCTACCCCTTGCATGCTCAAGATCCTTCGTAAAAGACTGCCGTGCAACTCACAGGGGCTGGCAACCAACTCACCGCTGTCCTTCGTAACCTTTCCATTCTTTGATTTTGGGTGTAGTACAAGGTTTGATCCTTTGATCAAATCTTCTTCAGAGCTTCACCTAGGCCCTCCTACCAGAAAAGATTGCCACTTTGTTTTTGACTCAATCCTGTTGTTGAGTATCTACTTCGTCTTGGCTCTCCCAACCTCCCAGGGCCAGTTCCTGTCGACCCCCAACGACATCGCGATCGTGGGCGGAACCAGAGCCTACACCGGAGCCACCGGAATCGCCCACGAAAACACGATCGCCGCCAATCCGCTCACCGGAGAGTTCACGATTGGATACAACCTTCGGTTTTACGTACTGCCCAAGTTCACTCTGCCTGACCTCTTCCTGGACGTGGGGGTTCCGCCGGTCAACGGCGCGTGTAACCCAAACTCCGCAAACCCGAACCAGGTAAGCTATTGACCAGGGACGAGCTTGCCTCCTTGTGTGAGGGTTGCGTCGTCTAATTATGGGGACTGGCGCTTGGGCTTTTCAGCCGGGCTTTCCAACAATTCCCCTTGTTTCAGGGAACAGCCTTATGAACAGCTGTGAGTGAGGCTGCTTCACGAAAGTTGGACCTTTCCACATCCGTCATCTGAAGATATACATATAGAAGCCAAAAAGCCGCCCGGGCCCTTCCGTCCCGAATTGGAGTATATATAGAAGTTCTCAACACCAGTGCAAGAATTTGCTACGCAAAAAGCTACAGACCCCATGTGCATGGGGGAGATTTTCTCAACGGGCGCATTGCCTGTGTAAAAGCGGCAAAGCTCGCTCAGAGGTTAACATTGACGTTTGATAACAGAAAGTCACGGACCGCGGAAACCACGACTTCCATGTGGACAGCTGGTATCGCAGTTGCATGCGGAGAACAGTTACGCTTCACTGGTGCTCGAGATTGCATGCCGGTACAAAGGATGGAGTGCTGAGGATTCTCCTGAAAGCGCAAAGTCCTCCTGAAGGATGGTCCTGATAAGCCGGATTGTTGAAGATGCTCATGCTTTCTATCTTTGTTTGTGCAGTGCTTCAGCGCTGCCGGTAGCGACTCGATTTGCTGCCAGGGCCAATGCCCCGCCCAACCTGGGGTCAGTCCGGCGTGCGCGTGAGGCGCGGTCTCAAGAGTCTTGTAAAATGTGGGCCGGATTAGGGCAGGCGTCGACCGGAGCAACATGATGCACGGTGCAGTCAATCATTGACATCAGGTTGAGCTTCCGACAGCTGAGATTTCGTTTCAAATTGTTGCGCCAAAGACCGGCCGCACCAGTGTTGATTGCCATGGGCGCTTATATATCGTAAGCACTCCAACTAGTACGCCGGTCGCGTGTACCATACCCCAATCCTTTATATGCTATGGAAATGATCATGATGGCTTCATTACTAGTAGGTTCAGTGATCGACCTATTGTGGCATGTACATTAAGCAGTAACGGCCAGAGCCGCAGATCCTCCGTGCAACATGTTGTAAACGTGCTTGCAACCGTCAGGGAGCTACCCCTTCATGGCATGCACGCATAGTGACGCGCGTAATAGAAGACCTGTTCGGCCCATGCAAATGATAAGTGCAATCCGAGTCTACAAGACGCGTAGCTCACTTCATGTCGACACTTTGTAGAAATTTACAGCCTACGAACTCCTTGTACTGCGGCTTCAGACTTTGCGAAGAAGAGGTAGCACAAAGACAGAAAAGAAATTGCAGAGCTGACAGACCTACTACTGCGCATGCAGCAAGGATCAGCTGTTTTGGTGACAAGCCATGGGCTGCTTATGGATGCTGAAATCCTGTCCATACTGCATGCATAACATATCTTTCTAGCCTCTAAAATTCTGCGATTACCTGTACAATTCATGCACGGTTCTTGACAAGTGCACCTCTTTATGCAGCGTCTGATCGAATGTATCTCTATGTGGCTCGAACTGGTCGATCCTGCCTCCTACCTATCTTTCCACAACCGTTTTAAGGATGAAGATTGTGCAACCCTCCTCTCGCCGGGCTACCTTTGTCCTACATGTGGGCGAGCAGGCTCAGGCTCAGGCTCAGGTTCCTTCTCGAGGGCGTCGTGCGCCTCCAAAAAGTCGAAGACGACGGGGAAGACCTCCTTCGGCGCCTGGACAAATGCATAAGAGAATAAGTGGAATTCTGTGAGGACAGTCAGTCGGTCTCTTTCTAGCCGACTGGCTCCACTAGAAGTGGCGATAAGTTCAGTCCTTCCTATGCAATCTACAGCGGGGGCAGACGAGAACAAAGGCAGACACTTCCGAAGAGGAAATGGTGTTTACCTCCGAAGAGGAAATGGTTTTTCTCTGATTTTTCAAAATGTAACGACAGTGTAAGACTATCTGCCGGGTGGGTTAAAAGGGCTTTTAACCCCTTTTAAGGCCCTTTTAACCCACATGGCTTTGACATAGGTAAGGCGTCTTCCCCTAGTATAGGATCATATTTGGAACCCAAGAGCTAAATGGTCAATGGGCTTATCGTTCATTCAATCGAGAAGTACGTAAAAGTTTAGGGGAAGAGCGGTACTACTCACGTTTCGGTGGCCAAGCAGATCGTAGTGGCCGTAGTGCGAATTGTCGTGACCACCAAAGCAGTGGTACTCGAGCAGGTTCTCCGGAACCACCTTCGCGGTTGCTGCAGCGACGGACGAGCTCCCGTCAATTTCTCCCGCCGTTCTAGTTCTCAGGACGCTCACCTTCGGTGGCAGCCGCAGGCGCGAACGTTGCGTGCTTACAGTTTCCTACGCTTTGCTCTATGACCGCGGGTCAGGTAAGATAAGAATCAATTGAGGGTTGGGAATCAGAGTCTCAAAATACAAGTGCCTCAGTCAGTCCGGTGGCTTTGTCATTCTCTATTCGATCCAACAAAAGCAAAGCGCGGTCCCGAGGCCTTTGAGAAACCCCGGCCCTCATCTGCCCGACCTTGATCCAACAGCGCATGCGACACGGTTTTTATCACGCAAACTTGTACAACAACCGGTACGTCTCCGGAAGCCGCCAAAGCCCAAACTTTAAACCCATAAACCCCCGATTCTTGAAGCCTAAATCCTCACCTTGGACTGTGTTCGGCGGGCAGATCGTGTCCTGGTCCCCTGCAACAGCCAGAATGGGCACGTCTGTCGTCTTGAGTTGCTCCATGTACTTGATCTGACCGTCGCGGCTCTGCAGGCCCCCTGGCTGGAACACCGTCGCGAGCTGCAGCAGTGCTTTCACGGAGACGGTTCCTGCGAAAGCCAGAAGCAAACAGGTTTCGGCGATCTGGCTGTTTTGGAGGGAATAGTCTGTCAGCATATGTCTGGCATTGGCGCGTTACGGGCTATCCAAGTAGCAAGAGAATCTTTAGTGCACGGCTGAAACACCGTCACAACCTGCAGCGGGGCTTTCACGGAGACCGTATCTGTCAAAATCGATGGGAACGAAGCTAGTCACGCTGAAGGGTGTGGTCTGAAAGTATATGTCCGAACTTGACAGCTTATGAGCAACCTGATGGAGAAAGGAACACGAGCTTAGCGCCCGACTGGAGTTTTGCCGCGAGCTGCAGCAGCGCTTCTACGGAGACGGTGCCTGTGAACGTCAAGAATGAACGATTATTGGCACGCTGGCTGCTATATCATTTGTCAAATACAGGTACGTAATGGCGGCTGGCAGCTCAGGAGTGATCCGGTGAGAAAGCCTAGACACGGCCTTCCCACACTCCCTTCGCAGTGTTTACACATGCACGAAGGGAGTGACTTGGGGAGGCTTGTCTGCAATGATGCGATTTGAAACCCAGTGGAGCTAAATTTATCACAGGTTTCAGCGAAACTGGCCGCTTGAATGTTTGCTCATCACAGGATCTGAACCGGCCGATGGCTTGGCTTTTCCTCTTCGACGGCCCAGCTTTGTACCCTGACAATGGACGATTCGATTGGGGCAGCTCGTGCGTTCAGATGAAATCAAGTGTTATGTAAAACCCTTTTCCAAAGAACGTAGAGTATGCTCCCACAACCTGTACTTATTCGAGAATCTAAAGCTGGCGAAATTGCCGAAGGAACCGAATGCAGCAAAAGCCCGCTCACCAAAGTTCATGCCGTAGACCTTGGCCACCAGCGCGGGGTCCATGCTCCCGTTGGCTGACACGTGTTTCGAGAGCCACGTCAGCGGCCACATGGTGGGCGCCCACGCGACGACCGGTTGGATGGAGCGCATCATGATACCGAGGGGGATGGCCGGGACTTGCAACCGGGATGCAGGAATCTCCTGCAAGGGTGTAGGCAAGGGTGTACCATACCAATACGCGGTTGGGCATCAATTAATCTATTTTGAGTTTGCCCAAAATTTTCATTACTTTCATTACCCTTTTCTTCATTCTGCCCAATTTGCAAATGAAGCAAGATTCCAATATATTAGTTTCCATCTTTTTTGGCTGGTGGGAAAAGGGTTTTCTGACTATATACCAAAAATTTTAAATTCTTAAAGATTCCAAAATGAGTTGCCCAATTTTCAAAACGAACATAGTAAATTATTGGGCAAAAATCTGCCCAACCAGCGTGTTGGTAAGGTATGCGCGAAGGGTTCCCTGTAAAGCTGTAACACGTCAGGCAGGCGAGGCGTTCTTTGCCCGCGAGCCAAAAGCATTTGGCTGATCGGAGCACATACGTTGCCTTTGGGGATAGGCGGGACTTCCAACCGGGACGCAGGGCTTTCCTGCGATAGCAGACTGAGCGCGCCGAAGGTTCTTAAGATTGAAATAATACTTTTGAGCGTTAGCAATTCGGCATAAGGGGAGTGGTTAATCTGCTGGTCGAATCACTGGGCTGATTGGACCGAGTTTAATCCCGAGGAGAATGGCCGTAAGTTGCAACCGGGAGGGCAGGATCTCCTGCGGAAATGACACTGTCAGAGAAGCCAAGGCTTGTTCCGATAAGAAAAGAAAGTTGGCCTCGACATGTACAAGCTGAAAGGAGCGCATAGGATACCGTATTTGAGGGGGGCACTTGCGTTGGGGACACGGCAAAGGAATGCGACCATTCTGCTGAATGAGACAAAGGTTTCTGATTCTCAGGCTTCATGCGAAATCCTGAAGCTTGGACAGAAGCAGACCTTATTTGCAGCTTGTCCAGGACACAAGGGGCTGTTAGCGTGCCGGGGGAACTGGCAAGAACATGTTCTTTGGACGCGCGAGATTGAGACAAGGCCAAAGAAATTCCGCTTCTGGCGAGAAACGAAGCTAGTGGCTGTCGAAACACGGAAGCGGGACGAAGGAACACGGCAATGAAAGACAAAGAAGCCAGTGTCAAGCGGGAGTGTGAATGGCCAGTAGAACGGACCAGAAACAGGGGCGAGAACTGCGGCGATTGTGGAAGCTAAAGCGGCTTTGATAAGGCGACTTGAAAACGGAGTCGACGTCATCCAAAGGCTCCGACGCCAGGGTCACGTCACAAACGGATTCCGTCGCCTTACCAGGGGAAGAATGAGTTTGAGGACGCTGCCCGGGGAATAGTCAAGAGCTGACGCCAGCGTAACTGCCGCTTTCAGTCCCGCCTCCTTCCCTGCAAGCGGACGACGTCACGTGACATCAGTTCCAGGGTGCTTTGAGACAGTCATCTCAGATAGATTCAAGCCTGCCTTTCGTCGCAGGAATGAATCCGTTCCCCCTGGATTTGCGCATGCGAGGCTTTTGTGTCGTCTTTTGCACATGCAAGGCTCTGATTGCAGATCCGACAGAATGCTCGCGGATCTTAGGATGAGGTATTATCACGGACCTTACACAGACTCGCGTTCCTTATCACGTCTGCGTCCAGCCTCAGTCAACGACGAGCATGACCAAACGTAATCTAGATGCAGTTGTCTCTCGAACCAACAGACGATGTCCCAATTCGTACAAACATAAATCCTAGGAGCCATTTCCGCTCACCCTTCGTCGACAGCAGGCAGTACAGCAGAATGCCCCCCATCGAGTGCCCGATCGCCAGCACCTTCCCGTCCTTCGGCGCCGTTTTCTCCTTCACGAATTCCATAGCGGCCGGCACGTCTTCCAGCAGAAAGCTGTCGAAGTCCCAGTCGAAAAGGCGCTGGAACTCGCGCGCGCTGCTGCGGGTCTGGTCCACGACGCGCGAACCGCGCGTCAGGAACGGCTTGATGCGCTCCAGGTAGCGCTCGAGGAGCGGGAGCAGCTTCTCCAAGTAATTGATGTAGTCCTGCGTAAGAAGCACCCAGACCGTCAGAAATCTCTGCGAGCTTTCGACTTCTAGGGTCCAGATCGTTGACTGGTAAGGATTTGACTGGTAATCTGGGCGGACGCGCTCCAGGTAGCGCTCGGGGAGGGAAGGCAGCTTTTCCAAGTAGTTGAATGGAGTGCTGCATGGCGGATTGCACGTACTTTGAATTCGTCACCTGAGAATCACACGTAATTTGACTTCATCTCCTGAACTTTCGACTTATTACGGGGAGCCACAAGCCAGAAACGAGGAATGCGCTCCAGGTAGCGCTCGAGGAGGGGAAGCAGCTTTTCCAAGTAGTCGATGTAGTCCTGCATGGCGAATTGCACGTACTTTGAAGTCGTCTCCTGAGAATCAGACGTAATTTGACTTCATCTCCCGAACTTTCGACTTCTTACGCGGGAGCCACACGCCAGAAACGGGGGATGCGTTCCAGCTAGCACTTGAGGAGGGGGAGCAGCTCTTAAAGGTCGCATGAAGTAAAGGCATCTCGGAAGCGACAACTCGGATTCAAGTCATGAGCGAGTCAATTGCGGACCGAGATAGCCGATGAGAAGTCGATAACAGCTGACGATGATCCACGCTAGGTCGCCATCTGAAATCAAAGCGATGCTCCACTCTCGAGCAATTAAGACACTGACTGTCAATTTAACGAAGCAAAGCCGTGAAGCCTTGACCTGCTCAAAGAAGAGAACGCTCTATACTTGGCAATCCCGGACGTACCTGCACGTTTACGTTCAGTCGCTTGGCCCACTCCGACTCTCCGAAGTTGCGCAGCGACGGAAGGATCGTCTCCAAACTCTGGAGCTCAATCTGGACTTCGGACTCAACCTCCCCCTCGGGAGTCACGCGCTTAGTGAGGCCGTTGCCGCGCACCTCGGCGACCCACGTGTCAAAGCCCCGGGCGGCCAGGTGGCGGGCCATAGATACCTGTTGTGGTCATCAATGATGAGTACATGATGACTAACTGAGAAACACTGCGTAGAGAAGTTTTGGGGACGAAAGGTATTTTGGAGAGGACGCTTCAATATCGAAGTTCGTCAATGTTCTGTCGTCTGAACAAGGATCGGTTCCGGTTTTCGTTCGTAAAAAATTGGATGGCTTGTCCATGTTGACTGGACTTCTAGCTGTCAGAATTAGATGCACAACCAGCTGCTTTGAAAATTCGAGAACGAAATTGAGTGACTATACCCGCTTTGCACCAGTCACGGCGGAAAGTAGCTTATAAGGACCTCTGAACAAGTGGCGTACAGAAAGCACAGTCGACCAAATCACAACCGACAAATTATTTCGCCAGTGAAGCGACTCAAACTGTACAGCCCGCAACATCTGGCCCTGCCTGAGATAAAACCCATGCCTCCAGCCTCTACCCTTTCCTCTCCAGGTTTGGTGCTTTCTGGAGAATCTTCAGTTCTTCAGAAGGACCAATCTCTTGCAGTCATGTTTGCATGGAACTGAATAGCTCAGCAATGATCTCACCCCGCACTCTCATACGAGTGGGGCACCACAGTTGAGCATCTGCAAACCAAGGGGCCAATTACGTGCTGCTCACCTGAGGATCAAGGTCGAAAGTGAAGGCATTGGAAGCAACGCCGGCAAGGAGGAGGACCGGATGATTGCGTTTCACGGCCTGCATCCGCAATTGACAACTCTTCTGAGGACTTGACTGTGTGCTGTTGTAAGATTGTTCAGCTTGAATGTGATGTGAGGTACCAACGGAACACAGTGCTTGACGTAAGAACTCTACCTGGTTTCTAGTGCCTGCACGAGCCACAGCTTCTAAGTAATCCTGATTGAGGCCCTCTTTGCCACCTCTAAATTCGTCCTTAACTTCGTCCTTGACTTAATGACGTAAAAACAAGTCTGTGGATGTCGAGATCCTCTGCTTTCACCGCATTCTTACGGTTGGGGCTTGGCAGTGAGAATTCCAACAAGAGAGCAACGCCACACCCCGCGTGGGTTTGCAATCACGGTACATTTACCTTAGACAAAGTTATGGAGGAAACGATGAACTTTTGTCTGAAGAGGCAGGGCAGATACATGCTGCAGAGGATTTGTTGGACACACCGTTGAACAACATGAATGAGTCATCCTAACAGTTCAGACATAGAAAGGTATGAAAACGAATGCGCCACAAGCGTCCCAAAATCCTGGAGCAGCAATCTGTTTAGCAACAAAATGTGAAGAAAAGCGTCCACTAACACTCACGTCCTTTGCAGGCCGGTAGCGCCACAGGGCCAGTTTCCATTCGGTCCCCTTCACTTCCACGTAATGCAATTCATCTGCCGTGCACACCTCCCCCATTTCTTTGTCGTCCTGAGCCGCCTGCTCTGCCCCTTCGGTAGCAACGGTCCGCTTTTCCCGTCTGATCACCTGAGGCAAGCTGATGGGGCCAGGAAGGTGGAGGTGCGGCATCCTGGGGAGATGGGGAAGATGCAGCGCGGAGGGGAAGCTAGGAATGAAGCCGGACAGGAAGGGGCGGTCTGCATTTGGGACTTCATCCAACATGGCTTGTTCTGCGGTGTCCGGAGGGGTGGTTTTCTTCTCCATGAACTCTGATCGGTATTCCGCCAGCTTTGCTTGCAGGCTGGAAAGGTTGTGCTTGAGGTCTGCGAGCGCAGATTGGATGTCATCGCCCCGTGTCTGCGTAGACTTTGACTGGAGCTCCTGGAGCTTGGCTTCTGCTCGGCTTGAGAGCATGCTTGCCTCCTCCAGCAACTCCTCCGCAGTCTCCTTCTCCAGAGTCTGCGTCTCAACTTCCTTGTCGTGAGCAGCATCTGCTCTCACGCTGCTCTGAGAGGTGAACTGCTGAGACAGGAGGATCATGGGGCCTATCAAGGGGAAGGGACTTCTGCATGCGGAGCGTCTGCTGAACCGAGGCGTCGGTAGGGGATGGCTGCAAAGCGAGCGGCCCATTGCGCTCGCTGTGACCCGCAGGCCCTGTTTCACCACCGCCCCCCGGCACATGGTCAGTGCGCAGGACACCATCATGACAAAAACAAGGCCTCCTCCGGGGTCAATGCAGTTAAGTAGTCTCTGCCCCGCTCTCTTCTGTGTCTATGATCAATCAAGGAAGCTACAATTCATGTCCATCTTAAATTAGTACTCTTTCGAGGGCCGAGCCTGGCAAGAGAGGTGCCAGCAACCACATAAGCTCCCTCAAAGGAAAGCGGCTGGAATTTGCACTCAAGACCTCAGGCGCTTTGCAATGGGTCAGACTCGAGCAGCTCGCCCCCAGATTGGATCAGCTCTTCCAGCAGGAACCAAAGGCGCCTCGACCTTCTCTGCAAAGCTCTAGAGTAGGTAGGATAAGACCACAATTCAATGCGCTTGCCCCACTTTGCCCTGAAGAAAAGCAATGCAATGCTGGCGTGGAGGCCAGCTCAGATCTGGACAGGTGGCAGACCCGGACTTCATGTTCGAGCGGAACCAATTTCAGCGGAACTTAACCGGAACCTTGATCATTGACACCAATTACTCTTTTACTAGTGTTGAGACTCAACAGTGCCTCGCTCAACTTGCTTGGAGCGGAACCGGAACCATTCCGCCCTTGGAGGGAGGGGAACTTTCATTTTCATTAATCATCTCCAGAGCTGCACAGAACAGCTGATCAGGCTTGGCGCCCTCTGTGATCAGCATGGCGCTGCTTGCTGTGCGCAAGGCCAGGTTGCTGCTCCCCTCGTTCCTTGAAGTCTCAGGAGTAGCAAGGAGCTTCGGCATTGATAGCTCACCCACACGGTTGATCAGTTCCTCCCTGATCTCAAGGATGTTGCCCTCGCATGCAGAACCATCAGGAACAGCCGGGATGCCCTTGGCAGCTGGTTCAGAGGGTTTCTCGTTTGCCAGGTAGGCCGTTGCTTCGGGAGATCAAGCAGGTTGTTACGCCCTCAGAGAGGGCTTGTTGCTTGCATCTTCTCAATGCTGCTCATTTCACAAGCGGAATAACTTGAAAACTGTCAGCTTATCGGGTGCCTGATGCAGATATATGGTGTGCAGGCAGCTTGAGAATCGGTTGCAGCAGGTTGAGGTGTAATTAACATCTTTCTGAAAGGAGGGGACAAGGTGTCCTTTTTGGCATCAGACTAGTTGAAAGCACTTCGCAAGTGACTAGTGTTGTTTATGCCCAAACAGGAAGCAAAAACGGTCTTTAAGGCGTCGCGCATTCTTGGATTCGTCACTGGTTGAGATAGTATGATGATCAAGATTCAGAGTGTTTCAAAACTCTGACAGTGTCTTGCGACGCAGTTCCTGATGGAATGGTGGTATAATTCCAAAAGTTTGGTGGCAGAGCACTAGCTTTCTTGGAACATGCACCCCTTTCAATCCATTCCATCAGCGTATGCCTCGGCTTGAACGCTGCGTTCCTCAAAAATGTTTCTTGCCATTCTAGTCCACTGACGAACTTCCCATTACGGTGTCGCAGAAGGGAGTTCGCTGCCGCTGCTTCCGGCCAAGCTCAAGTCTTTGCGCCTGGCACCGAAGCAGCTGACAAGGCCCGCAGTGCATCCCTCCCCTCCTCATCTAGCCCCCCACAATCAGCTGCCAAAACTGTCCCCGCGTCTGCCCCTCCAGTGCGAGACCGACTGCTGGTAATTGGAGGGAACGGGTTTGTAGGGGGCCACATTTGCAAGGCTGCGGTGGAGAAAGGCTACAAAGTGTCCAGCTTGAACAGGTGAGTGCGCACTTGACTAGGGGGAAGATTTTTTGGATTTTAATTGTCGTCTAGAGGAGAGGAAACTGACCAAGCTAGTAACGAAAACTTGCTGCAATATCTTCCTTGCTACAATAGTAGTAGTGATTCCAATCTGTCTTAATTGGTGCATTCTTAGTGAGCTGTCATCCAAGCGGGAAAAGCCCCACACGTTCCATTTCACTCTCTTCAATATTTCATGTTCACCCAAGCTCTTCATTGTGTATGACAAATGAGAGAAACGACAACCTCGAAGTCGACCCTGACCACATACAGAATAAACCCCTTTTTACTCTTGAGAATCATGTGTCATACACTCTGACAACACCGGATAAATCATTCCGTCCTCTTTTTTGATTCCTCATTCCGTACTTCATTCTCTTCATCTGGAGAATGTTTACCTACCAGCCAGTTTCCTGTTACTGACATCAGACTCCCCAAATCGCTTTCCAAAACCTGAGCACCTGCAAGCCGTTTCGACCAACAGAATCTTATTTTTGGAGACTTTCCTCTCCAGATCTGGCCCGCCCCAGCACAGTGAGAGCTGGGTGAAGCACGTTGATTGGATTCGTGGCAACGTCTTTGAACCCCCCAGCTGGCGACACTCCCTGAAGGACGTACAGGGGGTCATCTCCTGCGTCGGGGCTTTTGGATCATATGAGACGATGAAAAGGGTGTGTGGAGACGCTAACGTTACGGCTGTGAACACAGCAGCAGAGGAAGGTAAGCTGTCTGCGTTTTCCTGTAAAGGGTCCAGACCTGGCTTCTCGTTGATGCTCATACCACTGACATCTCGTACCTGAAAACTTCTCAAGGACGGTTTCTCAGTTCTGCACACTCCTTACCAAGTCTTATACATGGTATGGTGGAACCTCTTGAAGACTTTTAAGCTGAGTCGACTTTTTCATCGGTAATTGATGGTGCCCTTTACTTAGGGAAAACTTTTCATTGCTTTGTTCTTACCATCTGCATTCCAGTGGCTGGTTCTGACAACTGCTGCCCCCGTTGGCTGCCCCGCTGACTCGGTCAGCTCGTTCCAGCTTTTGTTACCTCTTGACATTTCGAGTATGTTTACTGATTGTGGGAGTCTCCGGATTTCGCTTCTTGTTTCCAGTGGACCCTGGACCTCGCAATACCTACATTCTTCTGGTCAATTCGTCAGCTCAACCTGCAGTCGCGTGTACTTTTTGGATTAGAGAGGGTGCGTCGACCCTAAGGCTTCGAGAAGGGGCTAGCGAAGGACAATCAAGCACAACAAAAGCACGCAGCATTAAAGTCCGCATGATGCTTTGCTAACTGAACCCTCAACGAAAGGCTGCAAACTGTAGGCCTGCAGGTGCCACACGCATCGAGGATAACGAGACTGGAACGCCGATAACGGGACGTTTTCGTCTTTCCTTTCTGCGCTTCGAAGTCCCACAACCCTTTTGCAGGTGTTAAGCGGTTCGTGTTTATTTCCGCTGCGGATATGGGCCTGCCGACCTTTGTGCTGCGAGGCTACTTTGAGGGAAAGGTCGGTCTCGATGGCTCAACGTGTCTCGCCTTGCGAAAAACAGCCAGTTTCTGTTCACATTCTTGCGATGAAAAGCGAGCAACGCGTCTGCTCACAGATTGTTACTTGGTCCCGCAACAAAAGTTGTGAGTTGCATCTGCATTGAGTCCATCGGCGACCTATTTTCGAAAGGCTTCAAGCCAGAGATTCTGGAGGCATGCACGAGCACGTTTTCGCCGCTCCACTCTGCTAGTCCGACTTCAGATTGCTGCCTGCATTTTCCCTTCGCCCTGCCGTCTTGGAGCCTGGCGGTCAAAGTTCTTACTGTACTATCGTCCAAGACTAGCCAATACTATGCTTTTCTTGACGCAAGGACAGCTTCGCATCACCGACCAGCTCCTGTTTAGGTACCCTCGTCTTGCGGGGCGGAGCGCTTACAAAACTCCCGTTGATCCCTGCAGCGTGAAGCGGAAAGGGCGATCCGAGAGAAGCTGCCGTATGGAGGTAGGGACTTGTTTGAAGTTGCCGAGAACGTCGGGTCCTTTTCTAGAGCCCTATCAGCAGCCTGCTGTTCTTTACATTGACCACATACCCTCCCTTTTCAGATGGCGCCGTTTCAGGAAATATACTCGTCCTCGCCATGCGGCCGCCCGTTTCCGCATGTGCTTTTAAGAGAGGTCTTCTTTGGAAAGCTGTCTTGGCAATACTGTAGCGGAACCCTGTCCCAGGAGATCCCCTCCCGAAACAGACTTAAACGAATGACGCTTTGGTGACCTCAGCGGATGGATATATTACTCAGTGAACTGGCTGATAAATTTGAGTTCTTACCTTTTCAACAAATGGTTGCAGGGATCATTTTCCGGCCCAGCTTCATCCACGGAAACAGGCGCGTCGGCTCCCTAACTCTGCCTTTGGGTCTTGTGGGCAGCCCCTTGGAAGCGGTGAGCAGCCCGCCCCTCAGATTGCTCGTTCATATCGTCCAGACGCTCGTTCATCAGAAGCGAAGGCGGTTGTCCAGAGGAGGCTACTTTCGGTCCTGGTCGGATTTTTGAAAGCGCAGGCAAAGCCTCCGATCCTCTTTCGAATGTTGAAGAGCTGCCAAGAGCTTTGTGTGTCAGCCCGTTAAGACATAATTGTGTGCCAGCCCGTAAATCGATGTCTTCGCCCTTGTTCCTCTATATCATCCGTGTGTTCGCGACATTGTTATAGCGGTACTCCCACACACAAGACCTAGTTAGCCGAAATCTTCCAGGAGTCTTCTTCCAGTTGCTATTATCCACTTGTGGTTTGACCCCCGGTAACATCTAGATTTTCAGCTGCGTCGAGCCACGACCATTTATGCCGAAAGTAAGTCGCTCCGTTATTCGCTTGCAGATCTTCAAGAGCTCGGCAGGGAAGTGGGTCCACGGCCTGCCACTTGTCGGCCCCTTGATCGTGCCCCCGATCAACGTGGAGACGCTGGCCAAGGCTGCAGTACTTGCGGCGAAGAACAACGTCGTACCTCCGGGGATCATGGATGTCTGGCAAATAAGCAGGCTAGCCGAACGGTAACCATTTGATTGGCACTTTTGCGGATTCTGAATAAGCGAAGTGCCAACGAGAGACATTTTGTACAGGATTGACAGGGTCGAGCACGCAAGCGGAAACTTGGACATAAGGAGTCGGCTACAGACTAGCATACGGTCATATGCCAAGATACTGAAGTGTCCATATGCATGTAGCTTGTTTACAGTGAGAACTTCAGGCTGTGCATTCGTAAGCATCTAAAGTCGAGTTCTTTTCTGTAGCTTCTCAAATCGAAGCTTGTCTCCTAACGAATGGATCCCTGGACCAGTCTACATGTGCATGATACGCATCGAAAGCTGTGCCGGCAGAAGAGGTCGTGCTAAACTTGCAGATATAATACAGGCTCGCCCGTACGGTCGTGGTCACTTGCCCCCCACACCGTCAAGCATACATGAGCAATACTTATAGGGGCGCATGGTCGACGGCGACTGCTTGGCTGGTTCCTTACTTAGATCTATTACTTAGATATAACTCCCGATGTTTATACGTACCAGGATCTGAAACCGGAAGACGTGCAGGGCCGACACTAGCTCTGTGGCAAATCGTACGTGCTGACCGTCTCATCATTCAGGAACGTCAACTTACATTATTTACAACCACAGTCCTATCTCGTGATGACATCATTGTTCTTACGATTAAGACGTGTCGCACTACATGAAGACTCGTCCTAAATTTGCAAAAAGAGTTTTGACGTGATATTTATAATTGGCTACGTTTATGTCTACAACGCGAATTGTAATTCGACCGATTCCACGCCAGACAGCAGGAGCTTGCATAATTTGTGTACGGCGGTTCCACGACCCGCCTTCGAAGTCCAAAGTAGGGCGCTAAGGGTGAGGTAATAGCAATTGTCAGTGCGCCAGCTCAGCACATCGCACACTGGGGGCCAGCGACCCATGGGCATGAGTTCCGACAGATGATGACGTTACTAGACTTACTATGGCGGCAATTCCAATGTTGGTGTCAACGCGAGACGCCCGAACGGGCACGAAGTCACTGGTCAGCGGCTGTCGCTGTCATTATGGCCATTTTGACGTCACGTTGCATGATGTTTCATTGAGGTGAGGTGAACTGACAATTCACCAACTGACCGTTCTGCCCTCCTTCGGTGCTTCGGACACTGAATCATCTACTTTTGAATTTTGTGTTCCAACTCAACAAGTTGGAATCAACGCAAGCAGGCGGCTCTGGCTCTGGTAAGATTGTGCGCCTTCCGACACGCTTTAAATCGGGAGCAGACCAAAAGCTTGTCTCAAAAGCGGCCCATCAGCGCGCTGTGCCAGGTGTGAAGAAACAGGATTCTCTGTTGCGGGTAAGGACTGCCGAGCTGTCTGGATCTTAAGCGCACCGACAGTTGCATAATGCCTGATCAGCAATGAGAAGGTTGATACTCGAGATTACTCCAATGAGCCAGATCTGTTCAATCTGGGAACGCAGAGGCACATGGCACTGAGGCTGGCCAAAAATGGCGCCAACAAGGTAGGAGAGTGCCCTTTTGGAGACGGTTGAGCTTCAAGATCAGATTGGCAGGCCTTCTTCCCTTTCAGAGTGACGTACTTCTGAGAAAAAGGGTGTGCCTCTTTCCAATCCACATTGTTCAAGAGTCTAAACTGTCTGCCAATTCACTTTGGTTAGCTTCTATAATGACAATGAGACCAATGGGCTTCAGCAAATTAGGCTCGGATGAGCGGAGACGATGCCTCTCTCAGATGAGAAGAACCGCAGGGAAGAGCTCTCTTGCGGAGGAGTTCCTCTGAAACCCGTCAGCCGCCCAAAGGAAAGCTTAGAAGCTCGGAAACCTCGATTTTCTCCCCGCCGTATTCAGCTGTCCTTAAGATCGGGAGTGCCGATCTTTTTCCGTTTGATTGGTTCCGGTTCCGCTGGCCAGATGGGCTTCCGGGAGCGGATGGTGGTCAGCTTCGTGGCGTCTCTCCCTCCTCCAGTCGCCAGGCTCGCCCTGCGGACGTACGGAAAGCTCAGGCGGGTCGCCATTCGGACGCGCGCGTACATTACAAGTCCGCTCAGTGTGCACAGCTCGCCTTCGTTTCGAGAGCCCGTGAGAATGGAACGACCCGGATCCGGCGTCAGGAACGGAAACGGGTTGGAAGTACGGCGGAATGGTGAGCGGCAGCAGAACGGAGAGCAGGCCCAGCGGCAGGGAGAGCAGGCGCAGCGGAACGGAGAGCGGAACGGGGGAGAAAGGCAGCGGACTGAGGAGCGCGAGGGGCGGAACAGCGTTCCAGAGCAGCGGGACGGACCGCAGAACGGAGAAAGTTGGCAGCAGAATGGGGAGCGACCGGAACGGAGCGAGAGTCAGGCGCACGGAATGAACGGAAGTCGCAATGAACACCCCCCAAACGGAGCGCATTCCGAAACAGAAAACAGTACTGAGATAGGCGGGTCTCACACAGCAAGAGAAAGGGAGGTCGCAGTTGGGTTTGGCTCGCAGGTTAGCGTGTCCTTACGCAGTAACCCAGGCGCAGAACCGGAGGGCCTCGTTTTCGACTTCTCCGTTCCCCCGGGCGCCAAAGAACTGGTGATCGTCCTGCGGGAGGTCGCCTCGGGGTGTGTCGACGTCGCTTACAAGGCCTCGACATCCCTCCGGCGAACCAGCTTCGGCACCTTTAGCGAGGATCCCGGCCCGGCTCCCGAGGCCCCCGCCGAGAATCCCGCTAACATTCCCCGGAGCGACCAGGCCATTCAGGTGTTGCCCTTCGACGTGGCAGCCTGGCTGGAGCTCGTGTATTGCTTCAACTTCATCGTCGGTTTTTTCCTCGGGTTTGTGAGACCCATTTTCGGGTTGTGGGCGACGGTGGTCGGGGGAACCACCCGGTTTGTGACCCGGGTTACGATGAGGATTACGGCTTTTGTTCTGGCGAAGATGCTGCGGCTGATGCTGGAGAACTTACCAGGGCAGGGAGCCGTGCAGTTTTGAGTTGGAGTATACATCTAGCTTTATGGTGTAGAGGTACTCCTTCATTGAACTATGGTGGGTAACTGTTGTGTGATGGTGTATAAGCTTGAGGTATATATGTAAACACTTTCTCTAGAAAGATGTTCAGAAACGAAGTCCCATTGTGAAGTTCGTTACAAACTTTAGCGCGGACGGCAGATGCGCAATCATTAATACGCGCCTTGCGAGGTCATCGATCTAAATGTCACACACTTTCAAAGGATGGTTGAGTTGGCCGAGAACCTGTTCACGTTATGACCGTGGGCGCAATTTGCATGAATCGTGCGTAAGCTCAAGCATGTGGCCATTGATAAGGCCACAGCCAGGCAAAGCGATCGGTGGCTTTGCTCCCGACTTTGCGGACTAACATAGTTGGTGCCCAGAGGTTGCACATGAACATCGGAAGTGACGCATGCCGCGCGTGCAGCGTCCATGCAAATTATCAAGGTTTCCGATCATTCGGACAAGTGCACACCGCCCAGGGCCTGCCATGACTCATGTCATTCAGTCACTGAGTCGACATTCAGCTTCCTACGGCTCCAACGTTAGATAAATTGCATAACATGCTGTTACCCGGGTTTCTTTACTGTGTCCGCTCCATTGTCCGGTCGTCAGTCTCGTCCCCTATCGTTCCGCTGGACCCTCTAGCAAATCGTTTCGACCACTTTCTGAGGATCGTTTCTATGTCGGCGTCCATTCTCGTGCCGAGGCCCCCCCAGACGAGCATGTGCGGAATGTCGCTCAATCCGCCGGTGACCTCATGCACCTTCGTGAAGCCTATGCGGCGGTAGTAGTTGACCAACTGAGGCAAGAACACGTGACCGTTAAGATGTTGCCACTTGGCGTGCATCAACTGAATGGAAGCGAGGGAGCTTATTTGACTCGTTGTGAAGGCGGCCAGACTAGACATCACGCCAAAGCTTCGCAGGGCTCTGCCATAACTCAAAACGTTCGTTGACAGGGGACTGCTTAGGAGATCAATCACCAAGTCAGAAACGTCAAGGCTACAAACGGGTTAAAATTGTGTTCCTGAAAGAAACGAATCGTGTTAGCTCGACGGAACTTCCTAAACTTCGCGGAGCTGACTGCCGATACAAAGTGCAAAGTCTCGTCACTCTACACTCATGTCACGATATCCTTCGCAATCTACTGGTGTATTGAGAAAGGCTGGTTTAGTCAATTTTCGTTTTGACGATCGAGCCCACAGGCGGATGCGGAGAGATAGAGGGAAATTCGGGCTCTCTTGATGGTTCATACAGAATGGTTTCGAACTCGGCAACTTAAGAACTCAACAAGACAGTCAGATAGCCCTTGAACAGAGGATCTCCTTGTACATTGACTCGATCGAGCAGCTTCACTAAGAAGACTTTCCGTTCCCTTCTTCAACATGCAACGAACCAGTAGGATCTCAAAAGCACACTGGAAACATTACACTGAAGCGCTGAGCATACTCTCTGTCAGGGCCTGTGTGATATTAAGCGAAGAGAAGACGACGAAAGCGAAGGGGAAGCGACGACAGAAGAGAGGGGACGCGACATCAATGGAGAGAAGGTGACAGAAGACGAAGCACGGTTGCAGAAGCGGGAGGAAAATTAAATAAAGCGGACATAAAGAGGGAAAGCGATTACAACTTCGTAGCTTCGACCTAAGTCCAATCTGGAGACGTAAAAAGGATCTGGCGTTAAAATTGAAAAGGACATTTAGGAAGCAAGCATAGAGGAGGCTCGAGAAGGGAAAGGAAAACAGAGACAGTGTTTACCTTTCGATGGAAAACGTCCGTGTCATTGATGGCTAGTAGCTCCGCTTTTTTACAGCCTCGGTCGTACCCATGCCGCAGCATCGCACCTCCCAAGATCAGCGAAAGCTCGAGTAACTGGCGGACCTCCCTGTTCCAAGAGATGCGCGGATTTGAAAAGAGCTGTCTTTCTGGTTTGGAGACGTTCCCTTTCCATACATAGAGGTGATCTTAGTATCTTTTCCACCTTCGAAGTATATCAAGGAACCTTGGTGGACTTAAGAGTCTGAAGTCGAACGAACAAGTTGCGTCGCAAAAGAAGCAAAAAGAAAAGGCTTGAGCACGATTGCCAGCTCTTGCGGCTGCGGCCATCTTGCTTATCCATGCGTGTAGGGGAGATTGTGGACACCAGAACAAATGCGAGTGGGGACTCGAGCGCCGCTGTTGTTGTGATCGATGCGCATGCTTGATCCGTAACATTTGAGCAACAGTCCAGACAAAGTAACTCCCTCTAGCCAATGCTTGACAGAGTGCCAGCAGACGGGTTAATGATGGTACGGATGCACTGGCCAAACTGTCTAAAGTCCAGGGGGATTTGAATATATTCAATATTCCCTCTGAGAGCTTCTGCATCGAAGCATGAAACATTCCATGTTGAAGGGAATTAGTCTAACTCAGAAAAGCAGATAAGAGTCTCTCTGAAGCAGGCAGTAATCCTCTCGTGTAAGGAACGACCATTTCATAGGAGGACAATCGTGTCAATGATCAACCGTCGTTTAGGATAAGGAGGCTCGTCTGGCCACTCGCATATTCAGGTCTGACTTTCAGACCTTCCCTTCAGATAGACGATAGTCTTGTATACGTGGACATAGAATGAAAACCGGTACTCTCAACTGATGAGCTCACCTGGCCACCCGCATCGTATCCAGGTGCAGAAGGTTCCCCCCTGGCCATGGCAGCACAAAGCCGTTTACACTTCCCAGCAACTTCCCTGCAGGACCGCCAATTCCATCGACTGCCGCTTTCGCCTCAATCCAAAAGACTGGCCCGAGAGTGTTTAGGGATATTTCCACGCCCTTTTCAGTGCCCGCAGCTACAAAGTCTTCGAAGGTCGGGATGGGGGCTTGCTTCAAAGACGCTGCGCTTGGAGCTTTCTCCAAAGTGACTGCGTCTTCTACGGTTGACTTTGCCAGTGGGGTGAAGACAAGGGCCTTTCTATTTAGTATTCTGGAGAAACTGGCGTTCATACGGCCCGGAAATGTGTATGCGGGACTGCGATTGTGCCCACCGGAGGTCAAGGGAGTGCCAAAGAGCTGGCTGCAATAAGTAACACTTTTCAAAGTCCTATGGCTGTGCAGAGCTGCAATACTAAAGTGTTTCCAACCATTTCTAGGTAGCAACCCTTTTCTCAATGTGCATTGGGGAAGGCGGAACCGCAAGTGGTGGCGTGAAAGGATTGATCTGGACCCCCCAGGCCGCTCAACAAAGTTACGACCTTTCTCACACCACAGATATTTCAGGTCAGCTTTTGATGGATGCAGGGGGGATGTAGAGCAAGCTATACCTTGTCCGAGTCGCTGCTGGCAGCAGTTCAGCTGCGGTAAGTGCAGCGTGCTCATCGTGCTCCCTAAGCACCGGGCGAAAGAGAGGACGTGAGGAGCAAGAAGGCCACGAGAAGTTCTACTACAATAAAAGAAAACGCCCCCAGTAGCGTCTGCGTGCTAGCTGGCTCTGCTGCCCTCCTGGACCTCCCCCTGCTGAAGTCTTCAGTGAAGAGTTCTGCGCTGAAACTAGGGATCGGAATTGAGGTTAGGCTTAACCAATTCTAGCTGCCACGCAATGCTGCCGCTTGCACGAACGGCACAAGCCTGCATGCAA